CTATTGATGAGCATCTCCACGCGATCAGATGCGGAAAATGGCACGATAAAAAACGATCAGCTGCGGAAAATGGCTTCCTCATGCGCTAAGCAATGCAAACGCTCGTTTTTATCTGAACAATCTAATATAATTGATATAAAAATCAAAAAGATCGGAGTGACATTCGTCGTTTCATTGGCGTTCACACTGATTCCTAATCTAACCATTTTACTTTCTTATTTTTATATTGCGTAGCCAAAATTTGCATAGAGTAGAAGGAAAAATATATAATTAGAGGGAAAGCCAGCTTGAAATGTAAATTTGGAGTGGTTTACTGATTGGAGATAAAATGATGAGCCAAAAAAAGTCACACGTTCTTTGACTGAGTCAACAAATCAAGCTTGATCTTGTGAATATACTGCTTTTGTTTTTTTTATTACTATTAAACTAGTATTTTATGATTAATGTATTTTAGTAATGCCATCAAATCTCTCAATTAAAGCATGGAAATTTAGAACTAGTGGAGTCCTTTTTGTTCTCTTTATTTTAGCCGTTTGCTTCACAGCTGTTAATCCGAATGATTGGAAATTTGTACAACCAAAGGTAGATTTTAAAGAAAACAGAATCAATATCGAATATAAAAACTTCTTTGTACTGGATTCTTGATAACTAAGTACCTATTGGAACCTTTCAGAAGTCAAGTGTTGCCGTTGGATTTGGTGAAATCTTCAAGAGCACTCTTGAGTCTAATCCAAATCCAGAAAATGCGGTAACGAATGAAATTGATAATAAAAATGTAATCTTTTTATGATTTCAAGAAGATTTCTTTTAGTTTTTCACATTTTCCGGGTTCTTGTTCGTCCGTCAGCTGTCAAGCGCTGTTTTCTTGTCCTAAATCTAACGGGTGTCCAAAGAACAAACATATCCTCAGTGAATTCATCAGAATTTTCATGTTCTTATTCAAAAATGATTTCTAAACTTCATTTATTGCTTCTTTTGTCTATATTCTTGTTCTCACTTTCAACTGTTTCTGGACAAGGCTTTGCTTGCACGAGAATGGATCAACATCCTCTTGGAGGAAATTTGAAATGTCGTGGAGCTTGTAAAATGGATGTGAGTTGGTTGAGATTTGTGATATCAAAGTTGTCTGTTTTAGTCTTTAACCCATTCGAAACCGTAGCGTTTTTTCTTTTTTTTCGTCTGCGGACCAAACCCTTTTTTGACATTTTTGACTCCGAAGCAGTTTATCTAGATGGTTGGAAAGATTTAAGAGAGTCTCCTACACCATTTATTTTTGATGAAGAACGATTTGGATTCAGTACTTTTGGATACTTCAGTACTTTTCAAGATCCTATCGATTATTATTCTTATTTTATCGACGACAAATTAATCAATATGTTAGTAGGCGAATCTAATAAACATGGAAAAGGGAAAACAAACTGGCAGGATTTCGATGCAAAATCTTTCAAGCTCTTCCTGGCTCTGTATCTTCAAATGGGAATCGTCAAATTACCAAGGATTCGTGACTACTGGAGTAGCAGACCTGGATTAGGAGAATTTCCCCACATGTCCCACATTATGTCAAGAGCAAAATTTGAATCTATTCTTCGAAACCTGCGTTTTTGTGATAATGAACTGGGTCCTGCAGGAGATTGGCTTTATAAGATTAGAGCTATCATGGAACATTTCAATGCAAAACCAGAGGCTGCATTGATTCCGGGTAAATATGACACGTCTTTTTTGCCCACGTAATTTGTAGATCTGTTACAATTGGAATATACATGTAATGCTGAAAAACAGCAAAAAAAACCAGTTAATTGAATGAAAATAGCTCAATTAGCGCTGCAGCGAATAATCGCTGCAGCGGTCCGTTCCTGAGTTTTTGCTGCAGCGATTATTTGCTGCAGCGATTATTTGCTGCAGAAGTTTCGAATGGGTTAAAACCGAAAATATTCTGTTTGATTTAAGATAAGTAAACAATAATTAAGATAATAAACAGTAAAATAAACTTTTAAGTTTGAAATTCTCATTCTCATTGCATTCCTCCAGCATCAATCAAATTCTAGGGATGCAAAACAGGGAAATGTGTGAAGTTGAATGGAATACCGGCTTGTCAATGTCAATGCAAATCTGGCGTCGTTATCAAAGCAATATAATGTGTAGAAATAAATTCCAATGATAACCCTGTAAAAAACATTACAAACACAACGAGTTTTCTAAAAAAAATCAATCACACAAAGAACTTTTTCGAACTTCAATCTTTTGAACTTCAGCAATCAACAAATTCAACATTTTGCCAAGAACCAGGCCCGCCGAATTTGAATTCGAACCAGGCTTGCCAAGAATATTCGAATTTTCTTCTTCACTTTCTTTCCAATTTTCTTCTTATCTTTTTAATAAAAATAACAATTTCTCTTTCAACTTCAACTTTTTCCCTTTCAGCTCCCCCAAAAACTAGGAATTTTGAATCAAAATCAAACCAAAATCAAACCAAAATCAAAATCAAACTAAAATCAAATCAAAAACATTGTGACCCCATCATTTTATAACACACTGTACTAATCTGAAAATGGACTCAATAAGAAAAGAAGAGAAAGAGATTCAATCCCATTGAAATCATCATGTCTTTCTCCTCAATCAACTCCACTGAATCTCGCCATGTCTAAAGATTTAGCTGATGTTTATACTAATTTTTAAAAATTTTCAATCTATCTATTTATTGTTATAATCTAACTACTGCAACTGTAGAACAAAAGTATCCTTTTCTTCAACAGTACTCGCCGACATTCGAATCGTTTTGTCCAGGTGTTGAATGATGAAATCCTCAGAAGCCTGAAAAAGGTTAATTCAATAAAGCCGATATTGGAATAGAAGTGAAAATCCATTTCCCTTTTCCGCAAGATCGTTCCGCATTCATAGGAGAGATCTAGAAAATTTGAAGAGACGCAGACTCTTCAGGAGAGATTCTACTCTCTTGAAGAGTTTGTCAAAAAAAAAAAAACTTTCCACTGGGAACACGCCAGCACACAATGTGCGTGTTTGTGTGCTGGCGTGCATTCATGATGCACAATGGCGTGTTTGTGTGCAAAGAGCGTACTGTGGAAGGTTGTGTTGTGTAGAATCTCTCTTGAAGAGTCTGCGTCTCTTCAAATTTTCTAGATCTCTCCTATTTCCTTTCTCCTTTTGCTTATTTCTTTCCTTTTTTCCATCTGGATTTCTCCAGTCTCTATAGGCAGGGGGATGAACAACTATTTAAAAGCCTCATCTACCTTTTCACCAACAGCTTATAATTAAAAGTCTTTCTTAACTATGCAAATTACTTCACGTGGTGGACGGTTTATCAGCTTCGAAAAGTTAGTCACTTATTCTAAAAATCTGTAAGTTCTATTTTAAGAAATCGTGTCTTCAAATGCTACCGATTCGATTTTGATCCTGGTCAAAAACTTTTATCTCTCGCCAATCAAGTAGCCTTTCGAAATGAAGTCGAAATTCTGCAGACCATCGGATCACATTCAAACATTGTGCAATTCATCACTCATTTTGAAAAATGGCAAGATGGAATGAATCTCGGTGTTCTTGTATTGGAGCGTCTAGCTAATGGATCAATGGAAAGAAGTGTCCTTGTTTTTTTGAATAACAAAAAGATGTGTTTCAGTTGTCTTCAGTCCCGACTGGATTTATTCAGATCATACAATCTACTGTTGGTGTTCGAATATTCTTAAAGGGTTAACGTACCTCCACGCTAAAAATGTTATACACGCGGATATAAAACTTTCAAAGTAAGCATTGACAGTAAAAAAATGTACCAACTGATTCAGTTTGATGCTAGACTCGAACTTTGTAGCGAAAATTGGTGATTTTGATCTATCATTGATCAATGAAGTCTCGGGAAGATCGGAGAAAACATTGGGAACAGACCGAACAAGGGCACCGGAGTTGTGGATTGATAATCATGTTTATTTTTCTTGTTATTTTAAATTCCTGTGTTTACTTATAATGAGTTTTAGCTCTGCATACTCTGACTTCTTTAGGTAAGCAGAAAGGTTGACGTTTGGTCTTTTGGAGTCGTTTTGTGGGAGTTAATTGGGAGAAAGTAGGCATCATTTGGGCTTATCACAACTAAATTGATTTCCAGGTGGTGCTTTGGACAAGAAAGTTATATTCTCGTCGAGTTGAGCCAAAAAGGAAAGCTAGAACCGCCAAAGTTTCACTTCAATCATCCTCTGTGCGATTTTATTACTTTGTACGTGCTAAACCATTTGGAAAGCTATTATCTATATTCTAGATGTACCATTCCATCGAGGATTGCTCGGCCAACGTCTAAAATCGCTTTTAAGATCTTGCTGGAGCTCATTGAGGTAAATTTCATAAAATTCTCTAGTGTTTGATAGAATTCGACTAAAGACAAAATACGTTTAATGTTCAGATTGAATCCGTCAACTTCATGATGAGAAGCTTCACACCCGAAGTGATCGGAATAAATAGACAAAGCGCTTCGCCACTACCCACTGGATTCGATGAAGACGAAAATGCTCACCGAACTAATTTTTAGTTTCGTTTTTCTTTTTCTGATTTATAATAAATTGTTTTTCAAATTGTTTCATTTTCCAAAACAAAATGCATAACCTCGCTTACTTTCTGAAGGGCCCGAAAGCTCCCAATCCGGGTCAGTCCATTTGCCTTTAAAATGCTAATTTTTGAAAACGGGCAACCAGCGATTTTGATGTTTCTATGCTTGATAATATAAAAACGAAAATTTAGGGGATTGCGTTAAAAAGTTTTTACCGAGATCCGGCCATAAAGAAAACGTTTAAGAAAAAGAAAGGCCATAAAGAAAACGTTAAGTTTCACCAAACATTCTTGAATCGCTACATTTGAAAAGAAAGATTACGCTGGCTAACCGCAGTGTCAATAGTAAAAACTGTACTCTAAACCAAAAATTGTCAAAGAACTATGACGATCATCGGTTTTGTTGCTTATTTTTGCAACTTTCTTTGTTTTTATCGTGAAATTTTATAGGAATGAATGCGATTCGTTCCTCACTCCATCGACAACTCTTTCAACCCGAAAATGAGCGAATCGCGACGATCGGTTGTTTGACGAAAATCGATGGAAAGAGGCGAAAACATCCGACTTATTTGGCAATTGCGTGTAGGTTTTTTGAAAAAGCAACAAATCAAAACACTTAAACTAGTCTGAAAGTGAATTAAATTAAGTTAAATTAAATTGGTAAAAATTTAAGTCATCTTGTCATCTAGAATTTCTTAAGTTTAGATTTCTAGGTCTAGAATTTAAAATTGTAGAATTCTAGGTTCTAGAATTTGAATAAGCTCTAGAATTCCCTAAGTTTAGGTTTCTAGTTCTAGAATTTAAGTTCTAAAATTCTAGGCTCTAGAAATAGTATAAGCTTTTGAATAAGAACTCTAGAATAAGCTCTAGATTTCTAGAACCTAAATGGAAAAGCTCTAGAATTCTATTCTAGAGCTTTTCTAGGTTCTAGAAATCTTTAAGCTCATGAAAGAAACCTTTTAACAAAGCTTATTCAGTATCAGCTCAACACCCAATCTCTGTTCGAATCTACATCATCAAAGCAGAAAAAGAAGACAATTATAAGAAGAAAGAAACATGGCATTTGAAAGATATTCGAATGGTTGATGGGATTAATCCAAGAAAGGTGAGAAATTAATGCACAAACTAGCAAATTCATCGACTTCAAGAGTTAACTTCTACTTTCCATTAATTCCATTCCAATTTTCATTTCGTTCCAAGATCTCATACCTAATCTTTTAAGGTTTATCTTTGATAGGCCAAAATTGAATAGTTTTAAAGCAATTGCAATAATGAAAGTTCAAAAGCCAAGCGTAAATCTAAACCGCAAATAGATAGGGCTTTGTTTGAATGAAATCGACGATCGATGAATCACAGGCTATTTATGAATGCAGAACGATCCTGCGAAAAAAGGAAATGGATTTTCGCTTCTATTCCAATATCGGCTTTATTGAATTTTCCTTTTTCAGGCTTCTGAGGATTTCATCATTCAACACCTGGACAAAACGATTCGAATGTCAGCGAGTACTGTTGAAGAAAAGGATACTTTTGTTCTACAGTTGCAGAAAGTAAGTTGAGTTAAACCTGATGTTATAAAATAGCTGGTTAGCTGTTATTATATTAGTTAATTAGCTGTTATTATATTAGCTGCTTAGCTGTTATTATATTAGCTGCTTAGCTGTTATTATATTAACTATTTAGCTGTTATTATTATTAGGTTGGCAACTTAATAATGACGCGTTTATGTAACAAATCATTTATTTCAAAAAAACACAAAAGAAGAGCTTTCAATTCGAAAGGTATTCTCCATTAGTATCTATGACTTCTTCCCATCTTCTGCGCAAATCCCGGATCCCATCCTCGAAGAACTTGGGAGTTTTTGAGGCGAAGTAGTCATTCACTGCTTTTATGACCTGAGCATGATCATCGAACTTTTCTCCCTCCAAAAAGTGCTTCAGCGACCGAAACAAAAAGTAATCTGAAGGAGCCAGATCAGGTGAATAAGACGCGTGGGGCAAAACTTTCCAGCCAAGTTCCACGATTTTCTTATAAATGATCTTTGCAGTGTGAGATTTTGGGTTCTCGCGTAAAAATCTGACTCTCTCCGGTTTGAGCCCCAATTTCTTCAAAGACTCGTTAACTCTCATTAATTGCTTCGAATAAAGATCAGCATCGACGATTTGGCCAGGTTTAGCACTTCATAATGCACCAATCCCTTGAAGTTCCACCAGCAACAGAGCATTATCTTCTTCCCATGGATATCAGGTTTGGGAGTGGTTTGAGGGGTCTGCCCAGCAGATAGCCATTGATTTTTGCGTTGAACGTTCTCGTAGTTGATCCACGTTTCGTCAGAAGTGAAAAAAGTCGTTCGATTTACATTTTTGTAGCAAAATTGAGGCGACATTGACACGGGCTATTTTGTTGCTTTGGGTCAATTCGTGAGGAACTCATTTTCCAACACGATACTTTTTCCCAAGTGTGTAAATAGTTTTCGATTGTCGTATGGGATACTTAAAATATTTCTGCCAACTCACGAACGGTGAGTGTTGGGCAATCTTCAATTAAGGCGAGCAAGTCATCGTCGACCACTTCTGGAGGATGTCCTTGGTGTGGCTCGTCTACGAGGCTTCCATCGCCGCCTTGGAATCTTTGAAACCATCGTTGACATTGCCGAATGTGTATACTTTCCTCTCCAAAACAGTGATGATCGTGTGATAAGATTCAGCTGGAGATTTTCCTTGTTTAAAATCGTAGAACAATACAGCTCGAATACGGAATTTTTTGTCCTCCATTTTTTGCCAAAAAGCGAATGGTGAAATTTGTAGCACTAAATGCTATTTATGCAGACATCTTTTACTTTGTATATATGCAAAAAGAGGGAAGAAACGGTGCTTGAAATTACAAAAAACATGTTAAGTAGTGACGCGCCATTATTAAGTTGCCAACCTAATAGGTTGATGCAAAAGTCTTTTTCATTTTTTTCGTACTTCTTTTGAAAAATAACAAAGTCATCAATTAACCTATGGTTTGCTCTAAATGAAAAGTGTTTATTGTTCAATTTCCCATCTTTTTAAGTCAATTTGGGTTCAGTTTCAAGCAAATTCGAGAGTGAAAACGGGTTTTTCATAAAAATCTATAAAAACCTCTATAAAGAAGTTGGCTGAATCAATTTCTCTGAAAATCTGAAAAAATATCTAACTTTTTGTGCTCTATCTTTTATTTATTAACATCAAGATTGGTTTCCTTAGCTAAAGCGTCTAAAATGCATCATCGAGCCGTCGCCTTTTTTGACTACCCGACTTCAGGCTCTCAAAAAAATCTAGACATAAGACATTTTAAACTCGTTTTAATGTCATTTTGCAGAAAAATAATTGGCCTTTCGAATGCAATAAACCGTTGTTCAATTGGTGCATTTGTTACTTTTTAACGGAAGTACGAAAAAAATGAAAAAGACTTTTGCATCAACCTAATATATTAGCTAATTAGATGTTATTATATTAGCTGCTTAGCTGTTATTATATTAGCTATTTAGCTGTTATTATATTAGCTGCTTAGCTGTTATTATATTAGTTAATTAGCTGTTATTATATTAGTTAATTAGCTGTTATAAAACAGCTAATAAGTAAATATCTATTTACTAAGTTATCCAGTTATAAAACAGCTGTTCAAATAACTAAATATCTATTGATTAGCTAATATCTATTGACTAACTAATATCTATTCACTTTAAAAACCTGTAAATTTAGTTATGCCGAAAGTATGTCCCAATTCAAATGCCCGAGTTTGTCAATGTGCCACTTTTTGTTGAAGATTCAGTGATTGACAATGAATTGCCAGATGATGGTCCAACGACTTTAGATGAGAATTTGAATGATTACCAAGTAAGTTGCCATATAAAAAACTTTAGATAACGATTAACTCAATAAACGAAAGCCAGTCCAGTTAAAAATGTGATCTTTCAGGCAATCTCCCTCAAAGAAGAAGCTGATTTCCGAAAGCTTCTCGCAAAATCGAACCTGACCATTAACGAATGCGACAAATTTGCTCAAGTAATAGCAAATTGAAATTTTCTTCTAGAAAAAGTTTAGAATCTATCCGAATTACTCTTGGAATACGATGGTGCGAATATTCAATCGATAATGGGCAGTGAAACAGCGGTGAACAAATTGTTGACGTTGATCGACGATGTTCTTGCAAAGGAGGCACAACTGCAGAGGGAATTGGACAAATGTGATTCGTTACTGGTGGTGAGAAGCAGTAAATAGATTATAATAATAAATAGATTATAACAATAAATAGATAGATTCAAAATCTTAATAAGTTAGTATAAACATCAGATAAATCTTTAGACATGTCGAGATTCAGTGGAGTTGATTGAGGAGAAAGACAGTCTCTGTGTGGTTGAACGAAAGAACAAAGAGAGGCTGAGAAAAGAGCTTGAGGTTTCTTTTTTGTTTGATTTTATTTTCAAAACCTTTTTTGAATTGAAATCCAGGCAATTTCCAGGATTTTCTCTCAGCCTTGGACACCGTCACCGAAAATCACTTGAGAGTCTTGCAAGAAGCCAATATTTCGGATCCGGCTAGGTTTGGGAAAATTCAATACGAAAAATTTAGCCATTTCATATGCATATTGACCAAGGGTGAGCCATAATTGTCGGAACAAGATACAGTTCTGATTTTAAGGCAGACAAGAGCAAAAAAGGGAAAGTTTTAACTGAATAACATTTATTGTACATTAACAATTATAAATCAACTATCAAATTCGAATCGGCCACCATTAGCATTTGAGCAGGCTCGCAGGCGTTTCGGGAAGGCGTCAATGGTGGCGGATAGGCTGGATCGAGCTCTTCCCACGCTTTCAACAGTGATTTCTTCAAGCTTTCGATGTTTTTGTAAGGCTTTGAACAAGCTTTGGCTTCTAGAACCAAGCACACTGAAAAATCCATTGGGTTGAGATCTGGAGAGCTAGGTGGCCACTCAGAAAAAGAAATGAAGCCCGGGAAGTTGTTTTGGCAGAACTCTTGGACTTTCTTGGATTTTCGTGGCATTCAAAGGAAGTTGAACCTTGTTTTTCTTGTAAGCAGTAAGTTTGAGCTTATTTTTGAGAATCCGACCAAATGAGGTGCTTGAAATCGCCATCTTCTTTGCCATTTGCCTTGCCGACTGATTTGGCTTCTTCCGAATTCGGTCCCTCACTCGCTTGATGTTTATCTTTGTGAGGAGAGTTGGGCGTCTACCGCTTCTTGGTGCATCAGCAATTGTTCTCGTAGCTTCGTAGCGTTGAATAGTGCGGAAAATGATATTTCTGTCGACTTTAAGACGCTTATGAATTTCCGGCGCCAAGACTCTTCGCTTGTGCAATTCGATGATCGATTTTCGATGGGGGATTTTCCAGCCATTCCAAAAAAACAACACATTTTATATGAAAAGTTTCAATTATATTCCAAATATAATAAAAACACGAAAAAAAACAGAAATGAAGCTTAAATCAACAAGTTATTGTCCTTGAACGCGCGTGATACCTTCTTACGACAATTATGGCGCACTCTGTAGAATAAAAATTAGATAATGTGCTTTAAAATTTGAAAATTAAACCGTGAAAAACGAATTGCAGTATCGCGAGATGCAGTGAAGCGGCCAGAGCCTTCAACGCTTTTCATCGAGGTCGAATCGCAAAGCCAATGGAATCAATGACAGCTTATCAAGAAAGGGTAAGATAAAGTAAATCAACTAGAAGACACTAGACTAGATTTTTAGAGCTGGATTTTTATCGAAACTAACTATTGTAAAGAAACTTTACACTAATCTAAAGAAAGTGCTCTGTTAAGTGCTCTTTTAGAGTGTCGTGAAAGAGGCAGCCAACCAGTTCGTCGATCGCTTCATGTCTCACTTGACGACTTTGTTTCACAACTTGGTAACTTTAGAAGACAATTGTAGACTTTCCAAGAATCACAATGCCAAGAATCACTATATCAAGATCTCAAGTTTACATCTTTGATTTTAGAATGAGCTTACAAGTGACCAAGACTGGCACCATCTTTCCATACCCAAGCAATCCCAGCGCTTCCACGCCCTTTCTCCTTTAAGTGAACTAATCAGGTAAAAAGAAATACCTTTTTATAATCAATTTGTTTATAGCTTCATTTATTTATAGCTAAAAACATTGCTAATCAATTTACTTGACTTTTAGCTGGTTAAAAGGATTTGCTCCACACGTCTACCAATCTGCCATCGATCGATATGTTCAATCAACGAAACTTCTCTATCGTCGTCTCTTTGATCGTTTCTTTGACAATGTCATTGAAGAGGTTCAACGACTTGGAGTCAGCAATAGATTGAGTTAGTTTAATAGAAAAATTGTAACAATTGGATTTAGATACTTCCAATCTTTCAAAAGCTTCTCATGATCGATCTTTCGGTCAATCTGAAGCAGCTGATCAAGAAGAAGTTATCAAGGTGAGCAAGAGGATCTAATGGCAATCTAATGATCTAATGAATGTTTATTGCTTTCAGTTGATTGAAACAGTTCTCGGAGAATTAGGACCGATTGTGGAAATGGAGCAAAAGTTCGTTGTTCGATTCTATCACATCACTGCTGATTTGCTGAACGTGGCTGAGACGATGAGTCAAGGATCGGGAGATAGTGGAAGCATGGGTAGAGCTGCTAATGAAGCTTTTCATCAACCAATCTCTAACAATTTCTCTACATTTTAGTGCAAAACTGTCTAATTCTAAATTAGACAGTCTAAATCCTAATACTAAGCATTCAGGTGGAAAATCGATCGACAAAGTCCTAAGCGAACAAGTTAGAGGAGTAATGGGTCCACTCTTCGACTCTCTCGTCCCTCAACTTGATCGATTCTGTAAAGCAATTTGTAAACAGAATCAAGGGTTAGTACTTTGAAATCACTTTTTAACATCATTTAACATTTAGCAACGTTCTTCTGCTTTTCGTTTTGCTATCAAAGAAAGCACTGGCTCCTTCTGATCCAGGATCCTATTTTGCAGTCACATTTGGGAGTCTGACAGTGATGATCAAAAGGCAATTTGATTCTTACATGGTAAGAACAAAGGCATTTTAGATTTATATATGTTGTGTCCGATTTAGATTTCCGTCCGATTTAGATTGAACTTATCGCAGACGTCCGATTTAGATTCAATCTAAATCTTATATAGATTGAACAATAATATAAACATGCTTAATATATGTTCTTAAGCGTTTTCTGTAGTTTTCTGCATTTTTCAAAGGTCTTTTATTGATTACAGTCTATATCGGGCGTCCGATACAGATCGAACAATAATAAACGTGCTTAATATATCTTCTTAAGCGTTTTTTGCAATTTTCTGCGCTTTTCAAAGGAATTTTATTGTCTTTTTTTGAGAATTTTTTGTTTTCTTGTTTTCTTATTAAATGCTTACTATTATCCTATTAAAGTTAAAAACTACAGAAAACGCTTAAGAACATATATTAAGCATGTTTATATTATTGTTCAATCTACAGTAGCGGACAAAGACTTAGCATAATTTAGTTTTTCTTGTAATAAAAGTCGCTGTTTATGCAATATTTATCTAAAACTTTGTAATATAATAAGAAAACTTGACGTTTTAACAACAACAATTGGTATTTAGCCAAATAGCCTTTCAGAAAAAATTTTTGAAGCCTTTTATACAAAAATGGCGCGATAAAGACTTAGCATCTCGTGGATTCCGCAGTAATTTTGATTATTTTTCTTCTGACGATTGAAATTTATTATTTTATTAATTTCAGTCAATGGGTCGCAAGAAACAACTTCAGCGTGCTATTCGGGTTACGATTGTGGCTCTTCAAGCCGGTGAGCGACTGGATCGCATTGCTACCATTCTGAGAGTGAACCAATCGAATGTTTCGAGAATTTTGAAGCTTTTTAAGACAAAAGGAAACACGATTGCAACAAAAGAATGTCGGTGTTCTACGAAAAACAACTACTCGAGACGATAACAGGATTCAAACCTTATCGAAAAGCAATCCTCAGACGTCTGCAACTGAGATCTATGAAGATTTGCCAGCTTCTTTCAAAGATAAGCTCAGTCCGTGAACAGTGCAAAACCGCGTCTAAACGCTAAAGGACTATTCGTGAGAGGCCCTGCCAAGAAACCGTTGCTTTTAGCAAAGAATCGGAAAGCCCGAGTGAAGTTTGCTAAGGAGCATCAATGGAGGACTTTTTAGCTATGGAAAGACTGTTTGTACACTGGTGAAAGCAAGTTTTCTCTATTTGCTTCAGATTCAGGAATTTAGTATATTCGACGTCCAGTTAACCAAAGAATCAATAAAAACTACATTCTCCCTACAGTCAAACATGGCGGCGGAAAGGTTCTCGTATGGGGCGGCTTCTCTTCTTATGGAACTCTAGCACTCAAGCGAATCAATGGAATTATGGATCAAAGAGTTTATCTGGACATTTTTCCAAACCATATGCTTCCAAATGCACTTCAAATTATGCCTCCAAACTTTACTTTTCAGCATGATAACGACCCGAAACACAAGGCTCGACTCGTTCAGAGCTGGTTGTCTCAACAAAACTTTGCCGCTATGGAGTGGCCAAGCCAAAGCCCCGACCTGAATTCCATTGAGCATTTGTGGGAAGCGCTGGGAAGAATCTGCAAAGGGATTAGAACTCAAAATGCTCAGGATAAATTTGATCTCCTAACCAAGAGGTGGTCGGAGATTTCAAAAAAGACGACCTATGAACTCATCGAGTCCATGCCTCGCAGATGTGATGCTATCATCGCCTCGAATGGCTTTCCTATAAAGTATTAATTGTTAAAAACGAATTTGGCTTTGAAAAACATTTGTTACTATCTTTAGTTAATAAGTTATTTAAAAATATGCTAAGTCTTGATCGCGCCATTTTTGTATAAAAGGCTTCAAAAATTTTTTCTGAAAGGCTATTTGGCTAAATACTAATTGTTGTTGTTAAAACGTCAAGTTTTCTTATTATATTACAAAGTTTTAGGTAAATATTGCATAAACAGCGGGTTTAATTAGAAAAAAACTAAATTATGCTAAGTCTTTGTCCGCTACTGTATATAAGATTTAGATTGAATCTTAATCGGACGTCCGATATAGACTGTAATCTAAATCGGACGTCCGCGATAAGTTCAATCTAAACCGGACACAACATATACATTAAAACTCAATAACAAAAAGCTCGATAACAAAAAACTTAAGAGATTTCGAAAAACCTTTTTGTTATTGAGGTTTTGCCTCAATAGCAAAAACTATGCTAAGAAATACGCTAAAATCAATAAAAAAATCTAGAAAAATGTGCTCTTTGGTATTACCAATGTTTTCATTTACATAAATAAGATTAATTTTAATCAAAAAAACATATTCAATTCAATTCAATTCAATTCAATTCAATTCAATTCAATTCAATTCAATTCAATTCAATTCAATTCAACTCAACGATTCAACATGTAAAGCAACACATTCTAACTAACAACAAACTAACTAAAAAAATTGAGAAATCTTAGTTTCTTTCGTTCTTTTTGATTGTATTCGTTCCTAGGTGTAAACGGATATGGACTAGAATTTGGGTTGGTTTAAAGAGAGTGGATCCCTTTTGATATCCTGCCATCTCTAACACCCCGACAACCCAACCCAACTCCTCCAAAGTATTAGAGGAGAGTCCCTGTGAAATGACCGACCTGAACTGCAGTTGCATAAACCCGGAAGATATGTATCTTTATTTACAGTAGTACAATAAGACGAATAGATTACAAATGAGTGAAAGGGAGGACTGAGAGCCTCACTTGTCCTCCTAGGCAATCCCAAGAACCGCCCCTTCTCGGCGATGAAAGGGATAAGCACAGGGGAGAACACATTTACATAAGATTAGACCAATCATTCAATAATAATAGTAACTAAAATATCAGTTTGGCTCGAAGCTGACAATTGATTGCTCCGAGAAAAATTTCTCGAGCTTGTAGATCGAGAAATTGTTCTCGGAGCATCGTTGTTGAATCATTGACAACATTGAGCAAAAAGTTGAAAAGTGGTGAAAGCCTTATAAGCTTCTGCAGGAAAAGAGGCTACGCCATAAACAGTGGAAATAGGAATCAAAAGATTGAAACTTCACTTATTACAATTCACAACAAAGTGCAAATGATCAAAATGAGTGAATAATGACAGAAAAGAAATCGTTTTATACGTTCATTGATAAAAGATATTCAGCTACAGAATAGTTGCGCTTTTGGGCGCATTCTAGAATAGCCGAAGCGCAACTCTTGGCCGATGTTCGAATCAGTTCGTGTTGGAAGCTTGCCGATTAGTGATTAGTGATTAGTGAGCCAATTAGTGAAGCGTGGAAAGCTGTAATTTTTATTATCGAGGCTAAATTATACTAATGTTACTCGTCGAGATACGGAAAAGCCTATTTGTTAACGAGATTTTTTTGCTATTAAGGTTTTTGCTAGGGTATTTTGTTAAGAATCTTTCATGAAACTTCAAAATCTTTTTGCTATTGAGGTTTGACTGTATCTAAAGCCATGCCTTAATGATTTAAACCATAAAATTCAGGAAGCCGAAGCTCAACTCTTGACCGATGTTCGAATCAGCAAGCGAATTCGTCTTGGAATCTTGCCAAGTTTGCCTCGCTTCGCCGAATTCATTCGACAAACCGAGAAAATGTTCGAGGGAGCTGAAAGGAGAACTGATCTAGAAAAATGGTATTGTAGATTAGAAGGGATCTACTTTTTTCTACTCAACAATTTCAGGTACGGCCATCTATATCGAGCCGTTTGCGATGGGATTTCAAAGGCTTCTGTCAATCCGAATAGCAAAAGCCCATCAGCTGTAGTCCGATTCGAGAACTATCATGAACTTTATCGTAAGTTTTAAATTTTATTTGAAGAGTTAGATTCATTCAGAAATCCTCTCTGAACTTAAAATCTCTTGCTTGGATGGGCAAAGGAAAGCGGCGAAGAAGGAAAAAGAGGAGAATATTGATGCCTATGTGAGGGATTCGTTAGGGAGACCATTGGAGAAAATTCATGTAAGAATTGATTCAATTTTAAGCTAAAATCTTGATATTATATTAAAATATGTGAAAAGAATATGCTAATTTTATTCTATATTTCAGATTTTCTTCGAGAGTGTCGAAATGGCGATCGGTCGAGGACTAAAAGTCGAAGAAGTCTCCTATCAACAACAGTTCAGCCGAATTGAACTCAAGAAGGTTGTTGAATAATATTATTTATAATATTTACAGGATCTAGTAGTATCTAGAGTATCTAGCAGTATCTAGTGTCTAGTTTACAGTGTCCAACACTTAACAAATATCTATTTTCAGGTGATCTCTCAATATTCTGGCAAAGAGGTAAAGAAAGGACTTGAGCAACTCTACAAAAAGGTCGAGAAACACCTCATTGACGGGTCAAGTCTGGTGCAAGTGGTTTGGAGGAGTATGCAGGTGAAACAAATGTTAGAAAAAACTAAAACGAGGATATTTCTACTGTATTATGTTGCACAAGGGAATGGTCAAAACGGAAGCTTTTAGATTTTAATGCAAACGCCATTCGGCAACTGTGAATCCAATAATGTATTTACTTTTTGCCAAGGAGGCCGCATTCTCGAGAAAAATGAGTTTAAAATTCGGACATCTATTTGGAAAAAAGTTGGCCATCTACTGGCTCCTGGAGACTAAGAGGTCCGTGAAATGTCCCCCCCCAATGGCATAGTGGATAGTGCGCTGGCGCAGCAAGCTGTCGGGTTCAATTCCGGTCTCTGACTTTTTTTTCTAAAGCATTTCAATTTTAATTCGGTGAAATTGCCTAGTGGATAGTGCGCGGCCTCATTGACAAAAACTAAATACAGTAATGAATTCCCCGTTACCGAATGGTGTTTGCATCTTCTTGCCATCAGAAGCTCATACCTTCCGTTTGAACCATTCCCTTGTCAGTAACGTACCCATACTGGTAAGTTCAATTTCAGGAACAATTCATCAAACAAATCCAAAGCTATCAACAACTAATGACCTCTTGTTACACCTCATCCCGTCCCGAATTGGAGTTCTCTATTCAGGACGTTTTACAATATTTCTCAGAAATTGCCCAAGAACATTGATCTTTTCTGACGAATAATGTTTCTTTGTACATTTTTATTCTGATGAAGTACCCTATCATTTTTTGCTTTATTCGCTGAACAACCAAATTCTAAGTGCTGTTGAAATGTTGATGATAACTTTGTGATACTTTTGTTTGCTATTTATAAAGTTATTCTGGAAACAACAAGATGGTTATGGACAAGATGGATAAAAGAGAAATACAAGAAAAATGAACAACTAATTACAGTGGTCCACAAAAGTAATGCCCCATTGCTATTCAAAAGTATTTTTTGCAAAATTCCTCCTGAAAACATGTATTTAAAAGATTTTTTTTCTTTTAAAATACTTTAGAAATTCTAGTTGTTAAATAATTGGATTTTTTTGATTGAGATCCTTCCAATCAAAAGATCGAGGTGGAAGAGTGCAATTACCCCCTAAAATTAGCTTCACAAAAGTAATGCCCCATTGATCGTTTTCATGATTATTCTTTTTGTTTCTCCTTCTATGAACATTAAATGTATTCTATTGTATTATTTAGATTTCTGACATGAAAAATCTTGACACTCCGAAGAAGCTCCAAATCGCTAAGGCCCGGGAAAATGGGATGCGGGAGAAGGATGTGGCCAACCTCTTCAATTGCTCGATATGGACAGTGCGCCGCATTTTTTCTCAATCAAAAGCCGGCAAAAACCTTCATCAAGGCCTCAAGAGTGGCCAACGACCAATCACAACCATAAAAGAAGATCGAGCCGTGATCCAAATGGTGAAAAACGATTCGAACAAAACATCAATCGATGGAAGCCAAATGATGAGGGATCAATTTAACAAGGTTGTATCGCCGGAAACGATCAGACGACGATTAAATCAAGCTGGATTATATGCAAGAAGGGCTGCTCGTAAACCTCTGATGAATGGGGTGATTGGGCGAATGTGCTATTTACCGATGAGACAAAAATCAATTTATTTCACGCGGACGGAAACCATCTTATTCGGCGGCCGACTGGAAAGCGATACACACTCAAGTACATCCGGCCTATAGTGAAATTCAATGGTGGCAACATAATGTGTTGGGGTAAGAGCCTTTTTAGTATTTTGTCACCTGACTGTTTTTCTTTAGGAGCGATGTCACGAACTTCAGTAGGTCCATTAGTTCACGTCAACTCAACGATGAATGCTGTGGCTTACAAGAACATTATGGAGACCCAAATGCTGCCTTTTGCCACACAGACGATGCCTTCTGGATGGATGCTCTACCAGGACAACGAACCGAAACACAAGTCAAGGCTCATGATGGGAACGGTGGTGACTCTTCAAAATGGTACACGAGCACGACTTCCGGGCTGGTTTGCGGCAAGTCGAGTCAAATTGATCAATCCGCCTCCCTACTCACCGGATAGCAATGTCATCGAGCATCTCTGGTCATTTGTGAAGTCACGACTCAAGGGAAAGAAATTCGATTCGAAAGCTGCCTTATGGGTTCACATTCAACGTCTCTGGGCCACCATCCCCCAAAGTCTTTTGAAGAATCTCGTGGATTCCATGCCGAATCGACTCAATGAAGTAATAAAAGCAAAAGGAGGACCACCAAGTATTGATTTTAAAAAATTGTGTTAATTCTTTGCAAATGGGGCATTACTTTTGTGAAGCTAATTTTCAAGTCGCTTATTGTTTTTGTTTTGTACCTTAATTTGTATGTAATGTATACGGATAAATCTTATATTCTTGAAAAGTCGAGTCTTATAGGTAGATAAAAATACCCTACTCTTTTTCTGAAATGTCGATTTTGCAAGATTTCCTTACAAAACATACTGTTGGATGGCAATGGGGCATTACTTTTGTGGACCACTGTATTTAACTAATAATATTTTATAACTTTTGAAAAGCTTCTTGACAATCGCAAGTGCCTTGATAGTGATTTCTCGAAAAGAAAACCACAGCTATTCCTTTTGCAAACGATCCAATTGCATTACGGCAGATAAAGATTTGAAAATTGTACTTTGAGGCCTATCTTTCAACCTTCAACCGGTTCTAAAACTTATAATTATTATTTGTCTGGTTCAAAAACATAATTTTAGCTTACTAGCACTTTACAAATTTGATATCAAAGCCAAAGTTTTGTCCTATCGTCATTTTCTACGGATCGCTTTACCGCTACACAACGAGTCCGCCACAAAGGGAATTTTTTCGGTAAATCAAAAATATGATTGCAACACGTTTTATTGTGCATTCCAGATAAGCTTAAACTAAAATATACTAAAATAAGGTTCTGCAGTCATAAATCAAGTTGCATACGCGTTTAAACCTCGTTTAAAAGCGTTTAAACCAGTAAACACTTTGTAAATTGATTATACTTTCATTTAAAATATGTAAAAAGAAAATAAATAGCAGGTTGTTATGCAAATTTCGGTTAAAACGCGTACGTAACTTGATTTATGACTGCAGAACCTTGTCGAGAGTCCAGCTCCTTTTTGAAGGCAGCGATTTTAAAGTTATTTTAGTCTAAGCTTATCTGGAATGCATACTAAAAATTATTGCAATCAGATTTTTGATTTACCGAAATTGAATTTAGTACTCGTTGTGTGCTATGGCTTCCCGCCCATTTCTCAAACGAGGCCAAGGAACCAATTTGAAATATAAAGTAAGAAAAAAGTTTGCACCTTGTTCTTAAAATTTTATATCATCTCTTTATGTTGTTTTTTTCAGATATCTTATCCATTGCTGAAAAATGCCAACAATTGCAAATTTGTGGATTCATCAAATGAAAAAGGACAAGAAGAAGCTTCGAAATTAAATGAAGATGTGGTATGTTTCGTTTTAAATAACTTAAAACTTGAAATTTAGATAATTAACCAATGTTCTACTCCTTTAAACACGAAAGAATCAAAGCTGTTTGTTATTGAAGAGAAAGATGATCAAATGCAGCCTACGGAAGAAATGTGGACACTTTCAAATGTCGATCGAGTTGATGTAAGTATTGCAAATACTGTATTTGTAAAGACATGGACACGATGATTTAGAACCCTGAGAACTTTTTAACTCCAATATGTGGCCCAAAACTGGTTCCAAAAAGGAGATCGCTAACTATTGGCCCATCGAGATCTGGTAATTTGGCCAAACATTGAGTAATTTTTGAAATTTAGGCTATGATGAGAATTATTTATCGCCAGCATTCTATCCATCACATTCTAAGAGCTACAGAGAGCAATCAGAAGATCTAAATATCGAAGGCATCGAAGCAATAAGCTCGATAAGAAGTGAGTTAACTTTTAAGTTACCCGTGAGTTACCCGAACAACTTTTTAGAAAACTAGTTGTCGCGCGATTAATTTATTTCAAAATGTCAAGTGTTGTATAGTGAATTGGAGCCCTTAATCTTGGCTACAGTTATCTACTGAAAACTTTCCAATCGGATTTATGCAACTCATTTAACAAGTCCTTGAATGAGCGCTAGTCAACCCCTATCCGGCGCGCTGCCATTTTTGACGATTTTCTACATAAAAATTTTATCTAAAGGGACTTTATCTAGTAAAATTTGTGTGCATTTCGTTTAAAAAATTATTTTCAACAATTTTATAGCTTTATAGCAGCTAATATAACGAGATACTCATGTGAACTAAATATCGAAAAATGATTAAATTTCACCTTTTTCCCTGCGTCTTCAAAGAAGCTAGTTACCAGCTCGATTTTGTTTAGCCAAAACAGTTGAAAGTTATCTTTAATATTATTAATGGTGTTAAATGATATTTTTGCATAAATTAAATATTGAGAAAAACTTTTTCGAACGATTTTTAAGTAGAAAATTGTCAAAAATGGCAGCGTGCCGGATAGGGCTCAGACTCAGGCTCATTCAAGGGCTTGTTAAATGAGTTGCATAAATCCGATTGGAAAGTTTTTAGTAGATAAATGTAGCCAAGATTAAGAGCTTCAATTCTCTATATAACACTTGACACTTTGAAATCAATTAAGCGTGCAACAACTACTTTTCCAAAAAGTGATCCGGGTAATTTTGCTCAACCCTGTACATAGATGTTTTTGTATCACTGCTTTTCAGGACCCCTCCAAGCCATTGTTCCAAATGGTTCACGGTATCAAGATGAAGGGGTTATAACTAACAAAGATAAGGTAAATGAGTCTATCTTTTTACCTAGTGTTAGTCCTGAAACTCTTTTTCTTCCTTTTCGTATTTCCGTTGAAAAATAAAAAATTCACCAATTAAGCTATCGTTTCCTTCAAATAAAAAGTGTTTTTTGTTCAACTTCCTATCTTTTTAAGTCAGTTTTGGTTTACTTTCAAGCAAATTCGAGAGTGAAAACGTTTTTTTCGTAAACATCTATAGAAACCTCTACTAAGAAATTAGCTCAACCAATTTTCTGAAAATTTGGCTATATACCAAACTAGGTAAAAGATAGGTTAGCTAAAGTGTTTAAACCACATCATCGAGCCGTGGCTCTTTTTGAATACCCGACTTCACATTCCCAAAAAAATTCAGACAAAAGACATTTTAAACCCGTTTTAATGTTATTTTGCAGAAAAATAATTGCCTTTTCTAATGAAACAAACCGTAGTTCAATTGGTGTATTTGTTGGTTTTAAGCGAAAGTACGAAAAGGAACGAAAAGACTTTCTGAACAGCCTAATACTTCAATTTTTAGGTAGTCAGAGTCATTGATGAGCTGAAAGGAAACCAACCAATTGAAACGTCTATCCAAAGATTGAAGGTGGCGCCTTCAATGCTTGTTTATTTGTAGATGTTGAGAGAAATGGTTTCAGATAGAACCACTGCATTTCCACACAAATCCGGGTGCTTTACTGAAGGCTGGTGATAAGCAACTTATCACAAAGAAGAGGTAAGAGGAAAACAAAAGAGATAAGTGTAAAATCTGGCTGTGTTTAGCATGACAACGGTTGAGAAGAAGTTAACTGAGCAGCTCCGAGAAGCGATAATGAACTTTGACTTGGCGGAGTCAGAGCTGAGGACGAAATATCAACGTGTAAGGCTTTTCTATTGTATGCAGTTTATTAAAACTTTAGCTTTTCAATGAATTGCAAGAGCAGAAACAAGAGTTGGACGAGCAGAAGAGAGTTTGTTGTTTAGGAATTGTACAGCGTTTAGAAGTTGTTTTTAGATTCAAAAGATTGAACACTTTGAGAGGCTGAAGAATGAACGAGAAAAGATTGATTTAACAAAACGTGTGAAGGATCAACGTAAAGGCTTTTCGGAAAAAGAAAGAACACTTTCGAAGCAGGTGAGTGAACAGTTCACTGATAACGAATCCAGTCAAATCTCAATGTCACACATCAATAGTACTCATATCTTACAAATGTTTTAACTACCTATTCAATGACTATTTACTTAAGCTTATCATTATGCCAATTTTTAGCTCGAAGACGCAAAGATCACCTCGATGAAGCACTATTCTCAACTCGTGGACACACGGAACAAGTTGAAGAAGGCGGAAAATGAGCTTGAGAAGACAAGAAAAGAAATGGAGAAGAAAGAGAAGCAGATTGGAAGGATGAACAATCGAATCAAACAACTCGAGGTGAACTTGAGGTTTTTTCTTGCCCAAAATCCCGTTTAGAAAGGTCTTTATGTGAATCCATCGATTTCAACAAGCCAAGAGACGTTTATTATTGATGAGGTGGGAAAACGATGTCATTTATATTCAAATTGAGACAGACGTAATACTTGTAAAATATAGAAACAGAATTGAAACAGGAAGACAAAAGCCCCTTGAAGCCCATTGAGAATGAAGCAAGAACTCATCGAAGCAAGACTGATGACTTCAAAGAAAACGAAGAACATCATACAGGGAATTTGGTAGAGTTACTTATTAGTTTTACTTATTAGCTATCTTTCAGAAAGATACTATACTTAAAGATAAATCTCTCTTTAGAATGAAGCAAAATGTGACTGCACGATCGAGCACGTTTCGGATGGAGACATCGCCTGGAAACGAGTTGAAGTTCAAGTGAGCTTTTTAAATTATCAATTTGGAAATAGAGTCGACCCTTGATATAACGATATTTTTGGTATGGTTATCGGACATTTGATACGCCCCTCGCCCCTTTGGCATTGGCAACCTAACTTTGAGCTCAAATATCTTGGTGTTGGACTGTCCAATTTAAGTATTCTTGGTATGATTGGTGGCTTCAAGTCTTTCTCTATCGATTGGTGTAGCGGACGCCCAGCGCAGCTGGTGCAACAAATATTGCTTTCTTTCATTGAATATCTTTACCCTACATAGTTCAAAGTAATTCTACTTTTGCAAATAAGAGTCCCTTTGCCGAATCGACCATAAACTTTCATTGGCATTAACTTTTTCTAATTCTTTATCAACATCAGAAGACAGGACGAAAAAGTGACGAAATCATGTCAAGTTTTTCGCGAAGAAGTATACCCTTGTGTTCAAATGCTCCGAATTTGAAAAAAAGGCGGGCTCAAAAATTGTTAAAGCTTTTACGGTTATTGATGATCAGATAAGCAGATGCCTATTAGTTTAGTAAACAAAACTAATAGGCAAACCTTGTTAACATATTTTTCAATAAGCTTTGCTTGTTTCTTAATCGCTTGCTATTTATTACTTTTTGTTGAGAAATACGTTATAAGAACTTTATATAACGATTTGGTTGAAAAACTTTGATTTATTTGTTTCGATATAAAGATGTGTTCGATAAGCTCGATTTCAAGCAAATCGTTATATCGAGAGTCGACTGTACGACTTTTAAGCAAAACTGTACAAAGCTGGCTACAAGCTTCTTAAATTAAAAAATTTAGGTTTACCACTACGGCAAAGCGAAAGCCACCGAAGTGCAATTTGCTGAAGGCCTCAAAATACGATTGCATGCAAGTAAACAGGTGACTGCTTTATATTGAAAGTTTTCACTGGATAAACCAAATTTTACATTAACTATCGTCTAATCTTGATGGCAATTTCTAGAATGATATTTCCCATTTAGTTTGATGTATTGAAAAAGAATGGCGAAGTGATCTCGGTTCTTCCTGATCGAACCCGTTGGGAGAGGACGTTGAAAAATGGGGGCGAGTTTCAGCTGACCAAGTGAGAGTTAAGGAAACACAATAATTATTGACTTTTTAGATTCTCACCCGATTCTGATCCAATGAGACACGATGAAAGGTTGCTTTAAATTAATGACCTCAATCTCAGTTTGGTTATACGGAATAAGTGCTAAACTTTCTGACAAACTTAATTGTTGGATAAACTTTAAACCGATTTCAGTAATGATCAAGCCGTGAGGATCTACTTGAATGGAATCGGGATATGGTATGATGATGGGTGCACAAGGATATCGACAAGAACTCTAGCGGTAACTGAATTAATTTTTAACTCTAACTCTGGATTACTGTTCCAAAGCTTTGCTCCGGCACAATATCCAGAATCTACTAGATACAGGGTGTCCCGAAAGTTCTTATATTTTTTATAAACGGACAGTTTGACTCGGAAAAGACGCTATTTTACGAGAAACTAAATCACTTACCAAATTGTAATACCATCTGTAGTATCTGTAGATTATTTACTATATATAAAAGAGAAGTGTCTGTCCGTCTGTCCGTCTGTACGTCTGTACGCGCGAGTTCTCGGCTCTCCGTGGGCCGACTGCGCGATGGCGACAAAGGTAGCCCCAAAAAATCCAGCCAGAATATTGTTCTTGGTACACATCTATTGAGTCTGTAAGTATAAAATGTCGCTATTTGTTATGGTTCTGTTTAAAACTCCCTAATTCATCGATTGACTTACGGTTTGCTTTATTAAAAATGTTAATCGTTTACCTATTGTCATTTTTAAGCATATTTGAGCCTGTTTTGAAGTAATCTTAAGGAAAAAGTCTCATTTTTCGGAAAATTTGTAAAATTGGCATGCAAGAAAATAGACTGGACAGATTGATCGGAAAATTTGGCTATATTGGCTATTTGGCTAACTTTTTATGCTCTTTTTTGTATTGACCCCAAAATGGATTTCTGTGGACGAAAGTGTCCAAATCGTAGACAACTTAGCCGTTTTAAAGCTGATTTTACATTCAAAAGTTTGAATTTGCCATTTTTGACTACTTTACTTCTCACCTCTCGTAAATCCCAAAAACAAGAGATTTTTAGAAACTCCAAAAAGCAATTTTGTCAAGAATTAATAGAGCTTTATGATAGAACAAGCAGTAAGTCACAAACGGTGAATTAGGGAGTCTTAAACAGAACCATGACAAATAGCGACATTTCATAATTACAGACCAAATAATCCGTGCTTCATCCATGATTTAGATCCAAATCGCCGTGTCACCCGTCTCTAAAGGAAAGATTCAACATTTGAATGGAGAACAAAAGGTATTTTTTCTATTAGGCTGTCCAGAAAGTTTTTTCGTTTCTTTTCGTACTTTCGTTTAAACCAACAAATGCACCAATTGAACTATGGTTTGCTCTAAATAAAAAGTGTTTATTGTTCAATTCTGGACAGCCCAATAATATTGTAAACTGTATAAATATTGATTGGATAAGTGTTAACTACTTTTTACTTTGAAATTATTTTTTTTCAGATATTGTGTCTCGAGTGGTGATTGTAGCAGCTAATCTCAACCCAATAACTGAACTATTTCGTGGATATGGCTTGCTTTTTGACTTAATGAATCTGTTCACAGAATTTATTCATCCAGTAAAAGCTTTGTCAATAAATATTTCATTTATTATATTTATCACATTGGAAATTTGAAAGCATAAGATAGTCCAGCCCTTCTTTTTTTCGATTTTCTTCAAAACTTTTCCTTTCGCAATGCTTTTGTGCTTAGCCAGAATTTCTCTTCTCTTTCGAGACTTTCTCTTATCAAAATATCAGCATAATTCCCCCCGATTCCTTTAAATCCCGCCTCCTTATGATTTTCTTTATTTTTCTTTTCTAACTTGTTCTCTAAACGATTGGACCCCATAAACCCCAGTGAATTTCTGATAAATGTCTTCTATCCAAATCTATCACCGAAACACAGCCGAATACATGGGTTACGGTAGCTCTAAAATTCAATGTTCTTTTTGGTTGTGGATAATTTGAAGAAGATTTGAAGCTTTAACTTTTCAGAAATCATCTCCAACAAGGAAAAGAAATGAAAAGGATGAATCGGAACAGGAATGCCTCTCTTTGAATCCCCGTCTGAAACCGTTGGACGCATTTTGGCTTGATGAGAGAAGACCCGAGTAATTAGAATTAAACAAAAGTCGAAAATTGACTGTAAACTGTCTAGACGTATCGTACCGCAAAAATCAAACACTCAATCAATCCCAAAAATTGATGACGGGGGTGTGAATGTCTCGAAGAGAAAAATTTCAGTTTTATCGGCCCACTTTCGACGAAGAAAATCCCTCTGGGACCGTACAGCGAATATGCAAGAAAAGCACACTATTATCAGGTAATTCAAAAAGAAAAAATGCCATTTATCCGTTGGACAGTAATCTTTTGACGATTGACGTATGGCTTTAATGAATTGGCGCGAAAATGGCGCGCTTTTTAAAGCCTGGATCCGCTACCGTACCCCGCAAAAATCCCCCTTTTGCCATTCTTTTAATTTTTTCTTCATTCCATGATGGAATCGTGAATGTTCTTCGGTTTTTTACCGAATCTATCATCAGTTTCCTTTCCCGTTTTGTATTTTGACGATTGACGATTGCCTGTTCATTTGGTCTGATTACCAATAGCTTTATAACGGACTTCTTTTTTTACAAAAGAAATTCTTATGCTTTTATCCCGTCTGATTGCATGATTTTGCTGAAAAATCGCCTGATTATCCCCAAGGGAAAATGGGTTTGACGTTTCAAATTAAAGTTTTAAATTAAAAGTTTCAAATTAAAAGTTTCAAAAAAAGGATCACATGGATTTTGGAGAAATTTCATCAAAAGAATTTCCTGTTTTTCATCAAAAGTAATTTAATTTATAAGTGGAAATCGTTTTTCGTGAAAACTCGAAGAAAGTGCGGCGGCTGATTGTTTTAAAATTGGTCCCTTTATTCATTGACTCGAATTTCATTCGCTGAATATTGCGTAATAGGAAAGATTTTGAGAATGATTCATTCTTTCACTGAAAACCCTCACGAAGTGTCTAGAGGTTGTTCGTAATCCAGTTTGTAGCTTTTGTAATCTAGTTTGTAGCTTTTGTAATCCAGTTTTTGCACTTTTTTTTCAACCGAGTGCTCTCACTCTGGGTGCAGAATTTCAGGCTGATTCAGAAAATGTTTTTGCTTCTGCGAAATGTTTTTTTTTCCTGAAGTTGTACAAACAAAACGAACTCAAGACGGCCCTTTACCGATAGCTTTTTTTGTTTATTTTTTGTTTTTAATCTGTTTTGATTCATAATAGAATAGTGAAGCTTCGACTGATACGATACTATCCATGTATTTTGATAATGACCCTAAGATTGACCTATCAAGCATGGGGCGCGACGTTTTAAATGGTAAAAAAATACAATTTTACAAAGTTAAAGGGGGGGGGGGGGAATATTTTTTTAGTCTAGCTTGCACATTTCGGTTGGCTTCCCTTGTTACTATGATTTTTGCAAATTGAATATGTAAATTCTCCATTTGTTTCACTGACTACTTCTCAAGATTCGAACATTTCAACTTCCATTAGACATGGGCACTACAAACGTAAACTATAAATGCTTTTAACTTGCTTCAAATTTGCCGGATTTACATGATCTATGGCTCAAAAAATAGAGAATTTCAAGAGCTTTCGAATGGACCAAAGCACACGTAAAAATATCAGGTAAATATCAGCAAAAAATATCAAAAACCTTGCTTCGATTACGCGCAAGTACAGTCCGTGTCGAGTCAGGACTACAAATCACTTTAACTTTCTTTAGCGCTGATATTTTGAGTTTACTTTGGTTCATCCGAAAGCTCTTGAAATTCTCTATCTTTTGAGCTATAGATCATGTCAATCCGACAGATTTGAAGAAAGTTAGAAGCGCCTCTAGTTTGATAGTTCGTCATTTTTGTAGTTTACAGTGTCTATGTCTAATTTCCATCTCAAATCTAGGTAATATTGCATGAATGCGAGCTCTGATCCACTTGAGGTGGACCCGTTTGAGATCTGGTCATCAAGCATGGCAATCTGTGCTCAAATCGCGACTTTTTACATCTTGCTCAAGATGATTCTTCATTTCACGAACCACGGCTTCAAACACGCCTTCTTCCGACTTTATATTTGGCGCTCGATCAATGTGGGTATTTTATTGGACTTTTCAAGATGTAAACGCATCTTTTCTGGTGCACTCTCGCTCCTCAAAGTTTCACAAGCCATTAAGCAACGTTTTCCTAAAAAATTTCCTTTAGGACTTGCTCGGCTCCGTCTTTTATCTGCTCACCCTCCGTCTGCCGGGTTGGGGCATTTGTACTTTCTATTCCCACATCTCAACGGGTCTCATCCCAACTCTTCTCTATTATTTCACCGCCTATTTCCAAGCGGCACACTATTTGGGCACAATGCTGATTGCGCTGAATCGAGCGAGTGCCGCCATTTCACCGAGTGCCTTTGAGAAAGTGAGCGAGTCGTTCCAATATGGTTCAGATACGGTTCCAATATGGTTCCAATATGGTTCAGATACGGTTCCAATATGGTTCCAATATGGTTCAGATACGGTTCCAATATGGTTCCAATACGGTTCCAATATGGTTCCAATATGGTTCAGATACGGTTCCAATATGGTTCCAATATGGTTCCAATATGGTTCCAATATGGTTCAGATACGGTTCCAATATGGTTCCAATATGGTTCCAATATGGTTCCAATATGGTTCAGATACGGTTCCAATATGGTTCCAATATGGTTCCAATATGGTTCAGATACGGTTCCAATATGGTTCCAATATGGTTCAGATACGGTTCCAATATGGTTCCAATATGGTTCCAATATGGTTCAGATACGGTTCCAATATGGTTCCAATATGGTTCCAATATGGTTCAGATACGGTTCCAATATGGTTCCAATATGGTTCCAATATGGTTCAGATACGGTTCCAATATGGTTCCAATATGGTTCCAATATGGTTCCAATATGGTTCAGATACGGTTCCAATATGGTTCCAATATGGTTCCAATATGGTTCAGATACGGTTCCAATATGGTTCCAATATGGTTCAGATACGGTTCCAATATGGTTCCAATATGGTTCCAATATGGTTCAGATACGGTTCCAATATGGTTCCAATATGGTTCCAATATGGTTCAGATACGGTTCCAATATGGTTCCAATATGGTTCCAATATGGTTCAGATACGGTTCCAATATGGTTCCAATATGGTTCAGATACGGTTCCAATATGGTTCCAATATGGTTCCAATATGGTTCAGATACGGTTCCAATATGGTTCCAATATGGTTCCAATATGGTTCAGATACGGTTCCAATATGGTTCCAATATGGTTCAGATACGGTTCCAATATGGTTCCAATATGGTTCCAATATGGTTCCAATATGGTTCCAATATGGTTCAGATACGGTTCCAATATGGTTCCAATATGGTTCCAATATGGTTCCAATATGGTTCAGATACGGTTCCAATATGGTTCCAATATGGTTCCAATATGGTTCCAATATGGTTCAGATACGGTTCCAATATGGTTCCAATATGGTTCAGATACGGTTCCAATATGGTTCCAATATGGTTCCAATATGGTTCAGATACGGTTCCAATATGGTTCCAATATGGTTCCAATATGGTTCAGATACGGTTCCAATATGGTTCCAATATGGTTCAGATACGGTTCCAATATGGTTCCAATATGGTTCCAATATGGTTCCAATATGGTTCCAATATGGTTCAGATACGGTTCCAATATGGTTCCAATATGGTTCCAATATGGTTCCAATATGGTTCAGATACGGTTCCAATATGGTTCCAATATGGTTCCAATATGGTTCCAATATGGTTCAGATACGGTTCCAATATGGTTCCAATATGGTTCCAATATGGTTCAGATACGGTTCCAATATGGTTCCAATATGGTTCAGATACGGTTCCAATATGGTTCCAATATGGTTCCAATATGGTTCAGATACGGTTCCAATATGGTTCCAATATGGTTCCAATATGGTTCAGATACGGTTCCAATATGGTTCCAATATGGTTCAGATACGGTTCCAATATGGTTCCAATATGGTTCCAATATGGTTCCAATATGGTTCCAATATGGTTCAGATACGGTTCCAATATGGTTCCAATATGGTTCCAATATGGTTCCAATATGGTTCAGATACGGTTCCAATATGGTTCCAATATGGTTCCAATATGGTTCCAATATGGTTCAGATACGGTTCCAATATGGTTCCAATATGGTTCCAATATGGTTCAGATACGGTTCCAATATGGTTCCAATATGGTTCCAATATGGTTCCAATAGCTCTAGCTTAGAAATTTCCTGGTCTTGCATTTTCCAAGAGAATCGAATTGACGTTGGGTTTTGCATATGATAGCTTTTCATAATGAAAAGACTCGGCTTTCCGAGAAGAAAGAAGCAAGCACTTGTACTGAAATCGAGTTTCATAACATTTGAAACATTTGAAACATTTCAAAAGGCCCTGAAGACAGTTCCTAGGAACATTTCAAAGATTGCCTCTTTATTTTTCTAAAGTAGTTGATAGCTAAAAGTTTACAAATCTTTTGTTATTTGATCACATTCTTTGATTCCATTCTTGGATTACACAATCACATGAGGATTTTGTTGATGAAAGGAGTTTCCAAGTTCCCAATTGCAGATCTGGTCCGGTCGCCAGACGCCTCTCGTGCTCACCCTCATTTTCCTTGTCATTCCCCAAATCTATATTTCTTTCAAATTGGCCTTCAATGGGGCTCAATTCATTAATGATCACTCATTTTTCTATATTGCCACTGATTTGTCAAACAGCGACAAAATGCTCATGTTATTTTATATGGGATTTTGTGCTCTTATTGCTTTCGTTGCAAATGTTTACACATCGTGGCGCCTTTTTCTCCATTATCGACGGGAGCCGAAAACGAATCGTCTCGATCTTCACTTTCAATGCTTTTCCCTGATCACTTTCTGCTTTGAAATTGCTCAAATTATTGCTCAGGTGAGTGGCTTTCAGATCAGATTTTAGCATATTCAGTTTCAAGAACAAGAAGACTTCCGAATCTGGTGAAACTTGTAAACTTTCTTATCCGAACTCTGTAGGGGTTTAAAGGGTGCCCCAACCACCGTATCGACTCATTTATTCGATTATAGAGTAATTCAATTAGTTAATAGCTTGGTTAACGCAACACCAAGCAACTAGTTAAATAAAGTTAATCTAGTTTTCTCTACGATCTTTTTCACTTTAGCTATTCGTTCAAAACATCATCGCCATCCCTTTCGAAATCGTCTTTTACATTATGGAAGCGATGCCGATTCTCTCAGATTTGTCACTGTTAGGTTTGATTTTTTTTTCGTTTTGCATGAAGTTCGTGAGTGTTAACACTTTTTTTTCATGCTTTACGTTTAGAAATGACCAATTGATTGATCTATGGTTGATCAATTGATTGATCTTTAGTTGATGAATTGATTGATCTTTAGTTGATGAATTGATTGATCTATGGTTGATGAATTGATTGATCTTTAGTTGATGAATTGATTGATCTATGGTTGATCAATTGATTGATCTATGGTTGATCAATTGATTTATATGGTTTACCTCAAATAGAAAATGTTTATTCTTTGATTTTCTTTCTTTTTTAAACCAATCTGGGTCCGTTTCCAAGTGAATTTGAGCACAAAAACGCGTTTTTGGCAAAAAAAATTAAAAATCCGATTCAAAATTCTAGAAAAAACGGCTAAACAGATTGCGCTGAAAATTCGGCTACATGTTTAACTTTTTATGCTGAATCTTTTCTCTTTTGACACCAAAATAGATTTATTTGGACGAAAGTGCCCAAATCAGATCATTAAGGAGTCGCCAAAAAACCCGAAACTGAAATCTTTTCAAAAGATTTCAACGCTTTTTGACACAAAATTGTTGGGATTTTTTTAAAGTAAGCAGTAAATCAATTGGCCAATTCGTCATTTCAAAACAAAAGAACGAATTGAATGAGAGAATGAGTGAATGAATGAATGAATGAATGACTGAATGACTGAATGACTGAATAAATGAATGAATGAATGAATCAATGAATCAATGAATCAATGAATCCAATCAATCAATGAATCAATGAATCCAATCAATCAATCAATCCAATCAATCAATCAATCCAATCAATCCAATCAATCCAATCAATCCAATCAATCAATCAATCCAATCAATCCAATCAATCAATCAATCAATCAATCAATCCAATCAATCAATCCAATCAATCTATCAGTAAATCCAATCAATCAATCCAATCAATCCAATCAATCAATCAGTAAATTCAATCAATCAATTAATCCAATCAATCCAATCAATCCAATCAATCCAATCAATCCAATCAATCCAATCAATCCAATCAATCCAATCAATCCAATCAATCAATCAATCAATCCAATGAATGAATGAATGAATGAATGAATTCATCAATCTAATAGCTTTTTCTTCACTTCAATAACTCGCAAATTTCAGCGCCAATCTGGTTCATGCTATTGGTGTCAAACGAGGCAAGGAAAGCACTCACTTGGCCACACGTCAAACCGCAAATCTCACAATGGCCTTAAGGAAGGAATTCGATCGTTGAGAGTTGAAAAGATTCCCTAAAATCTCTCTCACTGTCAGCTTATCCTTTTGCTTAAAACTTAAAGGAACAAAAGGTATTTTTTCTATTAGGCTGTCTAGAAAGTTTTTTCGTTTCTTTTCGTACTTTCGTTTAAACCAACAAATGCACCAATTAAACTATGGTTTGCTCTAAATAAAAAGTGTTTATTGTTCAATTCTGGACAGCCCAATAATATTGTAAACTGTTTAAATATTGATTGGACAAGTGTTAACTACTTTTTACCTTGAAATTATTTTTTTTCAGATATTGTGTCTCGAGTGGTGATTGTCTCAGCAAATCTCAACCTAATAACTGAACTATTTCGTGGATATGGCTTGCTTTTTGACTTAGTGAATCTGTTCACAGAATTTATTCATCCAGTAAAAGCTTTGTCAATAAATATTTCATTTATTATATTTATCACATTGGAAATTTGAAAGCATAAGATAGTCCAGCCCAGCAATTGCTGAAAATTGGGCACAACAAAGGTATAAAGTGAAAGGAAAAGAGCAGTTCTACTTAACGAAACCACAAATCCTACAAAAGGAAATAAATAGCTTTTGAAAACGCAATGATTTTGAATTTTTAAATAGCTTCATCGGGATGATGAGAAGAAAATGAAATTTATCAAATTTATGCATGAGTAAACAATGAAAACTATGAGAAAGCTCAACTTTTGAGGAAAGCCAGATGCGATTGATAGATGATTATTGTGCAGTGCGTGAGAGAGGAACCGATGGGACAATGATTTAGATATTTTATTTCGAATCTAGCATAATCACTAATCTAGCGACAAAATACAATAAATAGAATCGATCGTTGGTTCAGTGTTTCAAAGCCAAAGGAAAAGAATACAAAGTGGGCTCCGTCTCTTTTTTATCACCATATTGGTCACTTTCCCTTTCATCACGTCTTTTACTGTCGATTGTTGAAGGTGATGGTGAGCCGGCTGGAATCGAAGTGAATGGTTCTGGCGGCCGCAGCAATTGCCTGTGATGCCGGTCGTTTCGCTCCTCGATTGCGAGGTTTTCTTTTTCGTCTTGGTGATGTCTGGCAAGAAACGTCGACCGTGGTGCTTGTACCGAGTACTGCTTCTTCAGTACTTTGAGGTTGACTTTTTGACTCTGGGTTGAAGATCACGTCTGAGTCCACCGTTGGAATGGGCGCTGATACGCTTCCAGGATTTCACAGCCGGCGAAATCAGCATGTTTGAGAGGAATTTTCCGAGATCAAAGCCTGCTGCCCAGGCAAGAAACCAAAAGTTGAAGTCAAAGTTTTCATGGCTTAATTCTATCGCTTTCTAAAGCATCTGATTTCTTCAATTTTCTTCAATTTGCATTCACTTTTGCTTTTTGAAAGCATCTTTGATTTAAAATCATTTCATTTCTTCTTTCTTTCTTCTTCTTCTTCTTCTTTCTTCTTCTTCTTTCTTCTTCTTTCTTCTTTCTTCTTTCTTCTTCTTCTTCTTTCTGAAAGCATCTTTGATTTAAAATCATTTTCTATGATGATTTGTTGACTCATATGAGCAATTTTATCAATTCAGTTGTGTAAAAAAATTTTGTGGCGCGCAATTGGCAACTAGCCGAACCTGAACAATTCCTAGTAGTGAAACGGCTCTCGCACAGACAAAACGTCTGCTCTATCATTAACTTTTTTGCAGAACCGCAAGCTCGGTTGCTAAGTACTTTTCTGCGTACTTTTTTAACTTTTTGCTGAAAAAAAATTCGTCTCGTCGTTGGATAGGTTTTTTGCTGAAGTATCCGAACGTTTTTCATCACTTTCTTGTACTTGTATAAGAAAGTACTTGTACAACAGCAACACCGCTGGCATCGGCTTCCAAGATATATGGCTTTCCGACTTGCGAAGGTGCTAGAATTGGTGTTGACCATTCTATAATATTCTTGAGCATTTTTTTCAACTTGTGGAACGCTTTCTGGTTCATTTCTTTCAATTTATCCAACGATTCATCTGCCTATTCAAATTTAGCATCCTTTTTATCAGTTCGGTTCATCCTTTTTCATCATTTCGGTTTTCATCAGCTTTACTGGGGCAAAGTTCTTGATAAACTTTCAGTAATATCCAGCCACTCCCAAAAAACCTTTAACTTCTTTAACATTTTTCGGAATCGGAATAAGTCATTTTCGAATTCCTTTTGTCTTTCTCTCATCGATTCTCAATCCATTTTTCGATATTTTAAACCCAAAAGTTGAGAAATTCCTTGAAAAATCATCTAATTTCTTCAATTTTCTTCAATTTTCTTCAATTCTCATTCACTTTTGCTTTTTGAAAGCATCTTTTATTTAAAATCATTTTCTATGATGATTTATTGACTCATATGAGCAATTTTATCAATTTAGTTTCTTTTTGAACCTTTCAGATTTCATGATAATATTTTTTTCTCTTTGTTTCTCTTTTTTTGGGGGAGACTTGGGTAATAAAACACTCGCTGTGTCAACACAACGAGAGAAATTGACGAATCGCTTCCAGGATTCCACAGTCGGCGAAATCAGCGTGTTTGAGAGGAATTTTTCGAGATCAAAGCCTGTTGCCCAGTCAAGAAGTCAAAAGTTGAAGTCAAAGTTTTCATGGCTTGTTTTTATCGCTTTCTAAAGCATCTAATTTCTTCAATTTTCTTCAATTTTCATTCACTTTTGCTTTTTGAAAGCATCTTTGATTTAAAATCATTTTAAAATCATTTCATTTCTTCTTTTTTCTTCTTTCTTTCTTCTTCTTCTTTCTTTCTTCTTCTTCTTCTTCTTCTTCTTTCTTTCTTCTTCTTCTTCTTCTTTCTTCTTTCTTTCTTCTTTCTTTCTTTCTTCTTCTTCTTTCTGAAAGCATCTTTGATTTAAAATCATTTTCTATGATGATTTGTTGACTCCTATGAGCAATTTTATCAATTCAGTTGTGTAAAAAAACTTTGTGATGCGCAATTGGCAACTAGCCGAACCTGAACAATTCCTAGTAGTGAAAAGTAGTTCTGCCTCGATCGCTAAATTTGATTTGATTTCTTTTATGTCCTTTTCAAACTTTTAACTCAAAATTATGTTGAGTGCTTTTACAAATTATGAATAAAGTCGTTGCTTTTTCTTAAAGAGAGCTTTTTCAAGTTTAAATTTGCATAAATTTCAACTTCTTCTTGCGCGAATGGTAACTTTCTTTCCTCTTCTTTCTTCTTTCTTCTTCTTTCTTCTTTCTTTCGTCTTTCTGGAAGCATCTTTGATTTAAAATCATTTTCTATGATGATTTGTTGACTCATATGAGCAATTTTATCAATTTAGTTGGGTAAAAAAATTTTGTGGTGCGCAATTGGCAACTAGCTGAACCTGAACAATTCCTAGTAGTGAAAAGTCTTTTCGGTTCTGCCTCGATCGCTAAATTTTCTCGAGAAGAATTTGTTGTAGTCGATTCCGATGTGAGAAATTTTTATATTTGCTCAAAGCTTGAAGAAAAATGGTTTTTAATCGTCATTCCACTTCGTGTTGTCGCCAGATTTCTTCGTTCCACTTCGTGTTTTTCCGTTTTTACGTACTGAATCGGCCAGAAAGCCCAGTTTTCAGGGTTGGCATACAAAGAGAATTCCGAGTAGTGAAAAGTAGTTCTGCCTCGATCGATAAATTTGATTTGATTTGATTCGAGATTTGATTTGAGATTTGATTTCTTTTATGTCATTTTCAAACTTTTAACTCAAAATTATGTTGAGTGCTTTTACAATTATGAATAAATTCGTTGCTTTTTCTTAAAGAGAACTTTTTCAAGTTTAAATTTGCATAACTTTTCAACTTCTTTTGCGCGAATGGCAACTTTCTTTCTTCTTCTTTCTTCTTCTTCTTCTTTCTTCTTCTTCTTCTTTCTGATGTGCATCAGCAGATAATATCCGGCCACTGGGCGATAATTCATATCAATTAAAAAAGACGCGAGTGATGACGTTCCATCAATGTAACGATCATTGCCATCCGATCCATAATCAATGCTCATCCGAATGAAATGTTTGTCATTCGCAATAATATCAGAAGCTCGATCATACAATGCAGTTGTCGTTTTAAGCTTTTTTTCATCATCATTTTTACAACGCCTTCAAAGTACGGGTCAATCGCGTTCGTGATAATATTCGAGGGGTTAGCAAAATCAACTTCGATTTTCAGATTTTTAAATTGTTCGACCTTTTGTTGCTGATTTTCATGGCCTGTTCAATTATGAATAAATTCGTTGCTTTCTCTTAAAGAGAGCTTTTTCAAGTTTAAATTTGCATAAATTTTCAACTTCTTCTTGCGCGAATGGCAACTTTCTTTCTTCTTCTTTCTTCTTCTTCTTCTTTCTTCTCTTCTTCTTCTTTCTTCTCTTCTTCTTTCTGGAAGCATCTTTGATTTAAAATCATTTTCTATGATGATTTGTTGACTCATATGAGCAATTTTATCAATTCAGTTGGGTCAAAAAACTTTGTGATGCGCAATTGGCAACTAGCCGAACCTGAACAATGCCTAGTAGTGAAAAGTAGTTCTGCCTCGATCGCTAAATTTGTTTTGATTTCATTTGAGATTTGATTTCTTTTATGTCATTTTCAAACTTTTAACTCAAAATTATGTTGAGTGCTTTTACAATTATGAATAAATTCGTTGCTTTCTCTTTAAAGAGAGCTTTTTCAAGTTTAAATTTGCATAACTTTTCAACTTCTTTTTGCGCGAATGGCAACTTTCTTTCTTCTTCTTTCTTTCTTCTTCTTCTTTCTTCTTCTTCTTTCTGAAAGCATCTTTGATTTAAAATCATTTTCTATGATGATTTGTTGACTCAATGAGCAATTTTATCATTTCAGTTGAGTAAAAAAATTTTGTGGTGCGCAATTGGCAACTAGCCGATCCTGGTTAGAAGTACTGAAGTACTAGAGAAGTACTGAAGTTAAAGCAGAGATTTCAGAGCTTTTTGAGCTTTGATTGTTAGCGTTGTACAGGTTTTTCATTTCAATCTTTACTTTTTCTTTCCTTTCCTTTTCCTTTCCTTTTCCTTTTCCTTTCCTTTTCCTTTTCCTTTTCCTTTTTCCTTTTTCCTTTGTATATCAAACATTTGATTATTTGACCATTATATGAGTCTATTTAATATGGCAAAAGTTTCAAGAATATTGATGTTGATTTGTAATTCAAAATGGAAGAAAACGGCAATGAGATCCGATTTTCAATTGCCAATCTTCGAAAATCTCATCTTGATTACTGCATTGTTGATTACTGATGATATTTTCTTCTTCAGGCTTAAAGCTTTCATTTAAAATTGAACTTATTTAGCATCATTTGATTGTTTGACCATAATATGTGGTCATTTTTGATTGAAATTATGGCAAAATTGCAAGAATATTGAGCTGAATGGTCTTTAGATAGAAAATTGATATAGTTCGATCATCATCTGTAAAAGAAAGCATTGATAAACGTTGAAAATAAACTTTTGAAAACTTCAAAGAGTAGAAAATTGGCAATGAATTGTTAAAAACCGGAAAGTGATAAGTGAAAGCGTTAAAATCTGGAAAGTGAAAGCAATTGAAAGAAGAGATGATCAGAAATTTGTTTCATTAAGATTTTCTCCAAACAATTTCATATTTTGCCTTCGATAATTGACATAGAGCACCCATTTTTCGTCACCGATAATCAAGTGATGAAGAACAAAATTGGCTGTGATAAGTCAAACTAACTATAAGTGATTTAAAACGGTTTACTGGGTGCGGAGGAGTAGTAGACAGATAGACAGATAGACAGATACAGCTCTTTTATATATAGTAGATTATTTTTCAACTAAATTATGCTAATTTAACTAAGAGGCGCTCACTCTAATGCTAATGGTTTTATTTTTGACGGCTATAATGATATAGGATTACTATTTCATAGATGACTGTTAGCTATCTAACAAATTTATCTAACAAAATAGAGATCAATATCACAAAGGGAGAAGAACAACAGAAACAATTGAAAATAAACAAAGAGCAACAATAAGCAAGCGTCTGACGACTACGCGTTGCTCCAGTTGACGCGGACAAAAGACAAAACGAGAGCTAGTTCAAAATAGAAACGTTTATCAGAATTTCTTGTAAATTATTGTAAAAACAAAGTTTTCCCATGAAATGATCCCAACTCTTAATTATTTTGAATGATATTTTTAGGATAATGATTTTAGGGCGCTCATTTTCCACTATATAGTCAAAACCGAACTCTTGTGAAAGTGGGGTTTTCAAAAAGTGCCCTTTTTTCGTGCATTTACGTTGGACTTCTTATGCATGTACCTAATATAGATTATTTTTCAACCAAATTATGCAAATTTAACTAAGAGGCGCTCACTCTAATGCTAATGGTTTTATTTTTGACTGCTATAATGATATAGGATTACTATTTCATAGATGACTGTTAGCTATCTAACAAATTTATCTAAAAAAATAGAAATCAATATCACAAAGGGAGAAGAACAACAGAAACAATTGAAAATAAGTAACGATGCCTCTGACGACTACGCGTTGCTCCAGTTGACGCCGACAAAAGGCAAAACGAGAGTTAGTTCAAAATAGAAATGTTTGTCGGAATTTCTTCTCAGCAGTTTTGGAGTTTTCTTACAAACTAGTTTTGGAGAGAATCTCGGAGAAAATTGAAAAAATCAGTTTCGAAAAATGACGCAAAGTATTTCTTCATGTTAAATTTCATGTTGTAAGCATAGAAAAGAACAAAAAAGGATAAGGAAATCAAAAATTAATAGAAAACATTGCTGAACATTGCTGAACAATGCTGAACACTTGTCCAGCATTTTATGGGATCATGATTTCAAAGTTTATTTCATGCAATACCCAAAAAGGTAGCGCGAGCATTGAGAAGCGTCTCTTCGTGGTCTGAAAATCGATTGCAGAGAATGGTTAGGCAGACCTGGCTGAGAAATAGAGAAGAAAAGGAAAAAAGGCGGGAGAAAGTAAGGGTCAAGTGTCAATCGGAGTCTGTTAAGAGATTCATTTATCTTGGTGTCTTGATAGATATCGATCTACTTTAGTTAACACAAAGTTATCAATGGTAGCTTCAAAATATCTTTTGCTCTGGTTTTTGCTTTGCGCAAATGGTTGGTTTAAGAAATTTAGCGCACCAGAAAGTGTGTGTTTATAATTTTGGACCCAAGCACAAGTATTTACATTTGCAAAACAAAACAAAACCTACAAAACTGCAAAAACAGATGGTACTTGTCGGTTATACATCCACAGAGACTCAACTCGGTTAAGCAAGAAGCTGAGCAAGAAGCTGACAACTTGTGAGGGGTGATTATGTTCAGTGAAGTCGAGTGCCTGTCTGAAGTGATCAGTAGATCAGTCGAACGAAAATCGATAACCGAGAAGACTCGGATGGGGATGCTTCACCGAGATGAGTCTTTGTGGATGTATAACCGAAAAGTAAGGGTACTTCTCCTTCTCTCACCCATATTTCGATATCAGAAAATGAAAAGGACAAGAGCAGAAGCAAAGACAGAAGTTTAAATTTGAAAAAGTTAAGCTTATCACCTTTTTTTGCTTTAAAATTTGAAGATCAAGAAGATATTCGATCGGTTCCTCAGAGACGCAAATTCACGCAAGAAAAAGCGACAACACAAACTTGTCGATTCATCGTTGACAGGCAAAATAATGATAAAAATATTGGGCTGTAAATTTGTACCCGGGAGTTTTTAGGGTTGACGAATCGATTCACTCGATCCATTTTGCCAATTGGAACTCTCCTAGACACTTCTCCTGGTACTTGTCGGTTATACATTTACAGAGACTCCACAGAATCCACAGAAAGTTGGTTAAGCAAGAAGCTGACAACTTGTGAGGGGTGATTATATTCGGTGAAGTAGAGTCTGAAGTCTGAAGTCTGAAGTGCTCAGTCGTCTGACGTGGGCAGTCGATCAGTCGAACGAAAATCGATAACCGAGAAGACTCGGATGGGGACGCTTCACCGAGATGAGTCTTTGTGGATGTATAACCGACAAGATTGATTTTCCGACAAGACAAGACAGACATGATTTTCCGGACAATCGTCCGGGAAATCATTTTTTTTTGTTTGTAGACAGACCGAGAGCTATATTAGGCTTGGATTTGATTTCTTCACTATTTACAGGTTGGGAATTAAGGTATTTCTGGCTTCGAGTGGTCTGTGCCACGGCAAGCTCACAATCAGCTCACAATCATGTTGTACACTAAAAGTCCCGTAAACCTAGCTAGTTCCCGTAAATACTGTACTTGAAGCCCCTACCCTCCTTGAGGGGGAGGGAAAAATAAGCCACCCCTAATAAAAGCCTCTAATAAAAGCCCCCAATTTCTTTTGCCTTTTGTAACGCCGGGCTCTTTTCGTTGCTGGCATCTCCTCGAAGATATACCTATCCGCAACCCATTTTCTAATCATTCCTTCAGTCACATTAAAATGAATATCTATCGCTAATGTTCCATGCGCATCCCGGTGCTTCACCGCATCAAGCTTGAAAGCCGCCGTATACGACTTGCGATTTTCTGCATGATTGAAGCCCCTACCCTCCTTGAGGGGGAGGGAAAAATAAGTCACCCCTAATAAAAGCCTCTAATAAAAGCCCTGCATGATTTCTACAATAAAAAATATAAAACGTAAGGTTAAAAAACAAAAAAAAGTAAAAATAAGGAAAAAAATTAATATCCATAACAAAATTTGAGAAAAAAAGTATTTTTTAGCGAAAACCGCTCTTATCTATGGAATTTTAGGGTACTTCCATTTATGTCATTTGCTTCACTTTGCTACGCAAAATATGTATTCATCTTTGTCTCTTGTACCCAGTTTGCTTTGAATCCAATTGAATCACAGGGTTTAGTTATTTGGCTGCTGTTATTTGGCATAGCACTCTGTTGCCTGCATTTGCTTGTTTGTAATCGATTTTGTTAATGTTTATTTCATTGCATTTTCTCGCAAAAACAATTTTTATTTAACCACCTTCATAAAGGGTTTTTTGTTTGTAAAAAATACTCATAACAAGAAAAAAAACAATAAATTCGCGGGATGATAGTGTATAGAAAAGATATTTAATTGTGAAAGCACACCGCAAGAAAATTGCTCTCAATTCCCGTCAAATGGTTTCCGGGAAATCTGAATAAAGCAAAAAGATATTCAGTGATAACAAGAAAGTTTTTTGGGGACAAGAGTTTCGAGAATTTCCAGGGTCGTATGTACAAAAAGACCGCAACAACCGCAAAAAAAGCAACGAAACAATTTGGTATTGATCACAGAGACTCGCGAAAATCCTAGAATTTGTACCATTCTTAGCCTAAAAATAGGTTAATCGGTTAAAGCCTTAAATATTTTGTCTCTGAAATCAAAAAGGGCCTGTGTATTTTTGTTAACAAATCAATTATGCATATCAAATGCTGACTCCGTAGGATGAAGTAGAGAGAGAGAGAGAAAACTTTGTACACAGGGTGGTGGAAAAGGAATTGCTAAGGTGCTAGGTACACAAATATACAAGAAAGGTCTATCGTTTTTCGTTTAGAAATGACGATAGCCGAACTTGGACGTGTAATTTGCTCCGTAATGGACATCGGATTTGAAACGGAAAGCTGTTGAAGGGCCATTTGATGAAGAAGGAGCATCGGCTGCAACAGGGCGATTGGAAAGAGCCGCGTGACGAAGGAATTCCATTCCGGTTAGACTCGTCGACGCATTCGTGTGGTCGTTTGAAGCGGATGGTGCCTCTGAAAGATACGTTATAGATATTGTTTCTAACAGGGAAACTTTATCTTATAACTAGCTCTAACTCAAGACGTTAAGCTCGAGACGTTTAATAAAGCTTTAATCTCTACCAGTTTACATATCTAACAGCTATTTAGAATAGTTATTAGATTAGTTATTAGCTAGTTAACGCTACAAGACCAATTCATTTTGTATCTGTTACTTCCTGTTTCGAACAGGATGTCCAAAACGCAACGAGAATTTTGGTTCAGTTTTGGACGTCCGTTTCCGAAAAGGACGTCTGAAACTGAATGGATTTTTCAAATCCAAATTTCACTTAAATACAAATAAAGCAATAACCAGAGTATTATTTCAATATTGTTGTACAGTCGACTCTCTCTATAACGGAACTCTATATAGCGGAAAACCCTATATAACGGAATGGAATTTTGGTCCCGGCCGACGCTAAGCTCTATATAACGGCTACGACATATATAACGGAAAGCTCTATATAACGGCAAGACCTATATAACGGAAAGTTCTATATAACGGAAAAATTTTCTGGTCCTTTCCATTCCGTTATAGAGAGAGTCGACTGTATTTCATTTATGTAGCGATTATTACGAGGAAAACTTATAGCAAGAGCACCTAATATTAAAGATAATATTCAATTACCCAATTCACCAATTATACTAGATATAACCATACAAAATTATTAAAAAGCATAAATTAATTAATAAGTTAGAATAAAATGTTATAAACAAACAATTAAAGCCGTAGAACTAGATTTTCTAAAGATTCCTTAGCTGAGCTTTTACTGAGCTGTCACTGAGCTGTTACTGAGCTGTTACTGAGCTGTTACTGAGCTGATATTTTGGTTATCAAAGCACTATACTTTTCAGCGTCACTCAAATCAGTCACCTCCATTGCTTCAATTCACTCACCCGATCTCTTGTTGTTTGCCTCTTCCGGCGCATCACTCCAGATACTCTTGAATACATCCATCGTGCACCTCTTGAACATCTCATCAGACTCGTACATATTCTCCGTCGATGTTCTTGCCTGAATACAATTTGTATTATTATATTGCCTATTGTTTTAGCTCACAATTTTGAAGGGAGTATCTGATGTCTGACGGGAGCTGTCTGGCGGCACAGATAACCGTCCACCACTATTCGAGAAGTCACCAAAAGCGCTGAAGATGCTAAAAATAATGATTAACATTGTTCCAGTATATATTTTCCAGTATTCTCTACAGGATACTTTAAAATGATTTTAAACTAACCTTGGTTCAATCAGACTGTGCCTGTTTGAATTCATGGCACCAAAGTTTGTACGATTCCCGTTCTGCTTGAGGCTCTAGAAGAAAGGTTTAGATAAATCGGTTTTTTTTAACGATTTTCAAAGATAGCTAACTCACATTGAACTCTGATGGAGTGACATTGCTCATTTGCCGGAATTGATCTTGATTTGGTAGCGAGCGGCCGAAGATGTCTTCACCGAAGAGTCCTGTTGGCTTTGGCGGAGAGATTTCAGTGGGGATTGCCGGCGGATTTCCGACGATTGCTCTTCCAGCCGCAGATTTGTCTCCAGATTGGCCACCATTTTGACCAAATCCATGAGCTGAGTGTTGTCGCACGAAATTTGGTCCAGCTGGAGCTGGGTTGGCTCTTCTCACACCGATCTGACTTTGCACGGCTTGCGTTGAGAGAAGAGATCTCTGAAATTGATTTTTATAGAAAAATTCTATATGATAAAAGCTTAAAAAAGTTGTTTTTAATAATAATATTCGTTTTACCAACCAAAATCTCAGCATTGTCCGCATTCATCATGTGCCATTGCTCTAAAAGACTTGATCCTGATCCGAGAGCTGCTTGAAGTCCAGAAGCCTAAATTCGAGCTTATTTTGATATCTGACCGCTAAAATGTATTTTCATAAACTATTAACCATTGAAATCAACACAAACCTCAGGTCTTCTCCTCTCCTGAGCAGCTCGATGTGCATTGCCAAGTTGTTCAAAGCCAGGTGGCGCTTCAACAGAGTGAGGAGATCCAGAAGATGATGGAGCTGGAGTGATTGGGCCTGAAAGAAAAGCGTAACAAGGTTTTGAATCTAGAGCTTAAAACCGTATCAATTTTAGGCATAGAAATCTTTGAAATCGGTCACTCACCTGTCGGAATGGCTGATGAAGGCGGGGTTCTCGGTGGGATCACTGTTGATCGAATCGATTCTCGTCCAACTGCCATAAAGTTGTAGCATGGTGCCTCTTCATCGATTGGCTCAATGTGAGTCGGTCCACCAAGCGAGTCCACATAATGTAAAGGAGTGGCTGTCTCAGAAACGGAAACCGATGAAAGACCATCTCGATCCTGGAAATAACGATTGATATACGGTAGTTAAACTTAATCAACAAGGAAAAGGTGAGTGATATCTAAATTTCGGACTTCTTAAGAAGCCGTCACACGCTCCCTCAACAGCTGCTTCGTCTAGTGGATAGTCAGCTAGACTACCGAACCAATGGCACTTTTTGTCCCCAAGTTCGAGTCCCACTCTCGTCAAACTTGTTCAAAACAAACATTCAACTCTATTATTCACTGCAAATAGAGAAATACCGTATTTATTCTAATAGAAGCAATTTTGTGGAACGATTGAAAAATAGAAGCGTATGCGCGTGTATTAAAATAAATAGAATTAGAAGGCAGTAGTTTTTGACAAAGCAAGAAAGCTTGGCGAGAGTGGGACTCGAACTTGGGGACAAAGATGTGACAGGTTCGGTAGTCTAGCAGACTATCCACTAGACCAACGAGGCAGGCGTTAGGGGAAGCGTTTGGCGGCTTCTTAAGGAGTCCAAAATTTAGATATCTCGTTCTGTAAAAGCTAAAAATAGATTTAAGATCCTCATGGCCGACTCAATAAGATGGACTTGATCTCGAATCAAAAGGCCAGCTGGAATCAGTGCTTTTCCCTTGTAAGTATAGCACAAAATCTTAGCACCATTTCAAGCTAATCTTGTTGAAATCATGAAAAGTTGAAATTGAAATGCTTTCTAACTCTAATTCTAATTCTAATTCTAACTCTAACTCTAACTCTAATTCTAACTCTAATTCTAATTCTAATCCTAATTCTAATTCTAATTCTAACTCTAACTCTAATTCTAACTCTAACTCTAATTCTAATCAAAATCGCACCTCATCAAGACTTTCATCTTCCTGCGTTTTCTTCGCTCTCTTTGGCCGCTTCTCCTTGACTTCTTTTGGTGTCTTCACAGGTTCCGGCTAAAATTTAGACTGTGAATACATTGAGACTAATGCTTTTCGTTGAAAATAAAGATATCGAAAATAAAGAAACTTCATTCAACTATTCAATGCCATTTTGCATGAGTATACTGAAGCATAAACCTTTAGCTTTAAAGCTTTTTAGCTTTAAACCAAAGTAATCCATTTCAAGTGTTCAAGGATTGCGAATACTTTTCCTTTCTTCAACAAACCTGTGGCGGTGTTGTGCTCTTCTGCCAAACGAGTCCTCCTTCCGAATACACCGGCTCCTCAATCACAATCGGTGACGAATCTTTCGTTTTCACCGCTTTTTTCTTCGTCTTTTTCTTTTTCTCCTTTTCTCCTTTTTCCTATAAATTCCAAAATGAACTTTCCATTTTTCAATCAAACCTTCATCTCCCGATCTCGTTCTCGTTGTCGTTGACTGTCTTCTTTTCTCTTTTCTTCATCTCTTGCTTGTTGTTCTTTCAATTCTTGTTCTTTTCGCAGATTATCCGCTTCTTCTTGTGCCTTTTGTTCAGCGTCTTTCTTTTTCCGTTCCTCTTCAAGTTGTTGCTGACGGATTTGCTGAAAATTGTAAGATTAAAGACAGAAAGACCTATGCAAGTAATGGGTTTTCAAGCCTTTAAGCTAGCTAAAGTCTTCTTGAATAAGTCCTGAATAAGTCTTGAATAAGTCTTGAATAAATTCTTGAATAGTTGAACCTTAGTTCATTTTGGATCACTCAATTTTCTAGCCTCTTCTTACTCACAAAATCAAACAATAACAATAACTCTAGTTAGATATCTAGTACTAGAATGGTGTCAAATTACTTGTCCCCAGTTCTTCCTTTTTCTCTTTTCAGCACGTGAGAAAAGAATAGTGATTTGTTTGGTTTGGCAAAGAGTCAAGAATGGGCACAGGCTATGAGAAAAGAGGGCTTATAAACAAGAAAGGTCGCAGCTGGTCGACCGTTTTTGTTTAGAAAGATGGAAAAGAAAAAAAGAGAAAGATCTCTGAATAAAGTCTTGAATAAATATTATTCTAGAATTGTAGATCTAATATTTTTACACTAGAAATATTTTACAACTAGGAAAATTCGACTACAAGTAAGAAAATTTGATCTAACCAGCACTATTCATCTAGGCAAAAGGTAAATTTTTGAATAGCAAGGCTACCGTAATACCTCCAAGAGTAGCGCCAATAATATAATGACGATTGGGGCGTCGCATAGTCTAACTTTAAACGTATTCTCGTCACCCGTTCATGCTACCGTGTGCGCTTCAGTATCAAATGAAAGCTGAAATTCAGGGCTATTTGTTGATACCAAAAATGTATTTTTAGAAATTATGGACGCTTAGAAACCTCTAATAGTACCTCTAATTGTAGCGCTTTTCTCTAATGGCGATCGGAGCGTCGCATAGTCTAACTTTAAACGTATTTTTCTCGTCACCCGTTTATGCTACAGTGTGCGCTTCAGTATCAAATGAAAGCTGAAATTCAGGGCTATTTTTTGATACCAAAGGCGCATTTTTTGAAAGTACGGGCGCTTTGAAAAAATAATTTAATAAATTTTTTCGACTACGCGACTGTACGGGGGAGATTACTATTAGAGGTATTACGGTAGTCAAAAAAGAGCCTAGATCAAGTTGATAAGCTAAAATTGAGACTATTTGGCTGTTGTATAAGATTTTTGTATTATATACGACTGTCTTTTTAAGTCCTAGCACTTTCAGTGATCTAAAATTTGTCACTTAATTCAAGAAACAGCTGGATTGAGCAAGAAACAGACAAGAAACAGGCCAGAAACAGTATCCAAACCTTTCTTCAACTATTTGGGGAAAAAGATTCTCAAATCAAGATCCAGATGGTCAAAAATCCCACCTGTTTTTGTTTTTTCTTCAATTTCTTCGCTTGACGAGCCTTGGTGTCTCCCTCGATATCAGCAACGATTTCGTCCAAATCTTTCTCTCGTTCTTCCGTTTCCCCACAGCAGGTGGCCGGGTTTTCTTCCTAAAAAAAGATACTCATTAATACAAAAATCAACACAATCAAACATTTATTCATCATTTCATTAACTCACTTGATAACAAGAATATTTCCCACTAGTTGCGCTATGTGAGTGAACGGTATGTATTAACAAATTTCTTTGCACTCCCATGATTGTTCGCATTTTTGTTTTACGGACGAGGAGCGTCCTCTACAATAATAAATTTGAAGAAAACATGAAATTTTATGGGAGAACGGGTGATTTTCGGTAAGAGAGTAGTGAAAAAAGGTTTTTACGAGGGAACCAAGTGCAGAGTGGCACAAAAGGTCACAGGTTGACTAGAATAGGAAAAGAAAGATTTGGGAATTGATTTGAAAAAAAGGGAATTGCTTGAGAATTGCTTGAGAATGAGGATTTGTGATTTGGAAAAAAAGTATCCAAAAGATAGTTCCGAAAAAGAGTATCCAAAAAATAGTTTGAAAGTCGTAATCTTCCCGTAAATGACCATCTAATTGGGGACAATTAATGGATAATTGCACTGCTGCTTGCCAAGTTCAAAACCGTACGAGTGATCGATAGAAAACTCTTTCTATTGTATTGTTTAGGTTTCTAATGTTTTTAATGTTTCTATTATGTTATCCATTATATTATTATGTTATCATTATATTAGCTTTTCAATTGAAATTCCCTATTTCCCTGTATCAGCCTTTCGAAATCTTGCGTAAAGTTACGCAAGTGGCGATCCGGATTTGAAAAAGCGTAAGAAAACTAACAAAAATTCTATTGAATACTACGAAAATTTGATTTCTACTTTCTACTTTCTAAAATTTCAAATTAATGTTCAAATTAATTAAGCAAATGTTTCATTCCAACGACGGAATTCGTCATTTCATTTCATTTCAAAAAAGCTGAATGCAAAAGAGGGAAAAGTCCCAAAAGGGGTAATCAATTTCAGTTCTCTGGCATAGCCAATGAATTATTTGGTGTTGGCGATAAGAGAAAAACAAGCGTTGAATAGGGAAAATGAAAACAAAATGCATACAACTATAATCTAAAAGTCTAAATTGTAGCCTTTCCTGAAGTGCCAATTGTAGTTTTAACAAGCATGACCATTTGAGAGGAGGAAATACCCCTTAGGCACAAGACAAGTAAGTGATTGAGTGAAGAGGAAATTGGATAAAGAGATTGTGAAGGTGAATTATTGATTGGGTAAAGAGAAAGTTGAGTAAAGAGAAAATTGGGTAAAGAGATTGTGAAGGCAAATTATTGATTGGGTATTCTAAAGGGTATTCTAATAATCTAAAGGTAACGTATTGATTGGATAAAAAGATTCTAAAGATAAAGTCTTGATTGGGAAAAGCGAAAATGCCGAAAATGAAAGAATTGCCTTGAAAGGAGGTATCTTTGGAAGGACCATAGAGGTCAATAGCTGAAAAGGGTATCCCCATAACCTTTCATGCACTTGGCGGGAACTTTCCACAAGAGAACTTGAGATCAAAAACATCGGAATTGATCGAATTCGAAGTGTGAATTGGGTAATTAAACTAAACTAAACTCAAAAGCTTAGAAATGCTCAAATTCTTGATGAGAATAAGAATTTGGATTTTGGCTTAAAAGCTTTGTAAGCCTGGCAAATGATTTCTAGCAAAAATCTTTTGAACCAACTATATATCTAAAGTAATTATATATAAACTAACATGATTAGACTATAATTTAGACTATAATTTAGACTATAATTTAGACTATAATTTAGACTACAATTTAAACTACAATTTAGACAAATCACAAATCATAATCATATATAAACTATCGTACCATAAACTAACTATATCTATTTATCTAAATCTAACTAAATCTATCTAAATCTAACTAAATCTATCTAAATCTATCTAAATCTATCTAAATACTAGATCGATGTCTAAATTTTATCGTTTTCTTGGACACATGGTTTCAATTTGATCAACACAAGTGGAAATCGATTCAAAGAAAAGCGAAAAAGCAATGATACGGTTTGTAAACAATTCCCTGTCGATTTTTTTGAAACTATTTAGAGATTCTAAAGTTTTACAATAGTAGATGCGGTTGAAAACTGCTGTTCAACAGAAAAGTGCTTTTGGAGGAGAGAAAGGAATGTTTCGATGAAGCGAAACGATAAACGAAAAGTGAGTCACTGGAAAGAAAAAGGCGCGGAAAAGAGAGAAAAAAAATCAGCTGAGCGTTTCATTGATTATTTAAAATTAGGGAAATGAAATGAAAATATTACTGAAAAGTTTGAAAATTCAGCTTTAGCTTTAAAATCCAATTCCCAGCAAAGCTTTTTTCCGCTCTAACAGCCGATTGGCAGTCAGCTGAGCGAGGCATCGATTTTCTGAATAAATCGATGTCACCTAGGAATTCAAAGAAAAGCGCGGTGAAATCAAGAATGGGCCTGAATGGGCACGAGCTCTCCTCGTGCTCGATTCTTTTCTCTTCTCAAAAAGAAAAGGTTTGTATGTCGACTCGCGCGAGCGCGGTGGTACAAGGCGCGATATAGTGAATGCAGAAATAAGAGGAAATGAGAAAGGAGGGATTCTTTTGTTGGGAAAAGAGAAGAGAGTTTTCCATGCGTCAATTCGTCTTTTCCCTTTTCACTCTCTCGCTAGATATCGATTGCCACGCGTGGCTAAATTTGGGCAAAATTTGAGAGGGTCGAGGGGGTGAAGGAGATCTTTTCGAGCGGAAGAGGGGAACAGGAGGAAGAGGGGAAGAGGGGGAGAATAGGAAGAGGGGAAGAGTAGGAAGAGGTGGAAGAGGAAGAAGAGGGGAAAAGAGGTGAGAAGAGCCCCTTTTGGGCGGCTGGACAGCCAGAGCTTTTACGCAAATATGGCATAAGATGGGTAAAGATTGGTACCAGTTTAGAGATGAGAAAAAGAGCTGGGTTAGGTGATGAGGAGCATTTGGGAGATTTTTGGGATTGCACTTGTTTAGAAGGGAGTGTTGAGGGATTAACACTAGCTATTGGGTCAATATGAAAAGTCAATATACTCGCATTTCGCCCTCGAAGTTTCTTCAATCGTTCGATCAATTGAAACACGTTTTAGCCTATTTTGTAGAGGAGATTTACAATTTTCAAATAGTTTATAACATTCATCGATATGTTTATAACATTTATCGAACAACGTTTCTATCGTTGGATGTTTATGAAAATGTTGAAATCCGCATTTCTTATGCATATACCTAATAATTTGCAAGAATTTGATGTTTCGTTTCAAAACAAGCTCATCAAGTTCCAAAAACCGATTATTGAGGTAAATTTCCAACTTTTTCTATCTTATCTTTCCCTCTCACATTTTATCAATTTCCTGTCTCACTCCAAGAATAGCTGAACAAATATGGGAGGAGAACACCTACGTCAAAAGTGGGTGTGGAATCACCACGGTTGATTTACACTCTATTCTTGTTTTCTCCTTTTTTTTTCATCTCCTCTCGGAATTCTCGTGACTCATCGACTCTTTTCCTTTTCAACACCCTCAACTCCAGCTGAGCGCAGACAAAAGAACTCACCTACACAAAGGAGGAGTAAATGAACCCTTTTACACATAAATAACCCTCTTACACTGTTAAATTTGCATAGAGTAATAAAAACAAATAATCTGGATCGGGAAAAACATTTTGTTTGAAAAACAGCGTTTGACTTATGCTAGTTAGCCTGTTTTCTTCTTCGAAAAGTGAAAGCAACAATATTTTTGCTGTTTTTCATCTCGCTTTCAAGTGAGCACACACAAAATTTGCATTTCACGTGATGCTAGCCCTTGAATTTTTAAGTGCCAATTTCCAATCGTCAAGATACAGGTGAGGGGGGAAGAAAAACAACGACTCGATCTCTGTTTTTCGAAAAATATTCTCGTAAACAACTCGTGTCTAGCGCCTAGACCTTTCTAACACAAATCGATTTCGGAAAAGTAAATAAAGTTTGTGTAAAGTGATGTGTTGATGCTAGAAAAAGAGAGTCTGGAGAAGAGAGCGTGTAATTAGGCGTCCCTCTCTACAACGATCATGTGACCGAGCCTCGGACAAGCTCTTTTTCTTTCTTTTATTTCCCTCGGAAATGGGATTCCCCCTTGTGGTTGGGAAATGGAGAAAAAAGTAGAAAAATTGGCATTGCTATATTTGGAGAGCTTGGAATCAAAATAGAAACCCAAGAATTTTGCAAAAAAACACATAAAATCATAAAATAAAATATAGAAACTAGATACAAACGTTTGTTAGCTTCAACTAAATCTAAGCAGCTGCAAAATTAGATTGTAGAACATTTGATTCGTGCCCCGTCCCCTTTGCCATTGGCAATCCAACTTTGAGCTCAAATATCTTGATGTTGGGCTGTCCAATTGAATAGTTTTTGTACCAATCGAGAGAGAAAGACTTGGCGGATCCAATGATACCAAGAATATTTAAATTGAACAGCCCAACACCAAGCTATTCAAGTTCAAAGTTAGGTTGCCAATGGCAAAGGGGCGAGGGGCGTATCAAATGTCCGATAACCGCAAAATTATGCATGGATCAACTTTGGATCTGTCTAAAGGCAATGAATACCAACTTTACTGTAAGATCCAACTTTGAAGGCAAACTATGATTTGTCTATTTTTAACTGCGTGACCGGCCCAAGTCCGAAGCTATGGCTTAACTGCTCATTTCCTATTTTGAAACCAATAATTGTACGCTCAAATGTTTATTTTTTACCACCAGCACTCTGGAAAAAAAGTCACACAAGAGTGCTTTAGAAAATTGCTCCTTTCGTTTGAGAGATTTTGAGTGGGAAAAGGGAATTGGGAGAATACAGCCAGTTCCATTTCATTTCATTCTGCCAATCGTTCTCCTATGGTGAAAGTTAGAGGAGAAAAATTTCGGAAACACTTGCTTGGATCTAATAAATAAAAAAATAGGAAACACTTGCTTGGATCTAAGAAATAGAAATAGAAAGATTTTGGTTCGTGAAAAGCTAGTAACTAACTGTTCAAGTAGTGTTTTACAGGTTACCTACCGTAAATACTGTAATAGTACCCCACCCCCTCGTACAGTCGCGTAGTCGCGAAAGTTGTTTAGTATTTCATTTTTTTCAAAGCGCCCGTACTTTCAAAAAATGCGTCTTTGGGATCAAAAAATAGCCCTGAATTTCAGCTATTTTTTGATACCTAAGCGCACATTGTAGCATAAACCAGTGTCGAGAAAAACTCGTTCAAAGCTAGACTACGCAACACTCCACACCGTCATTATGGGGGTGGGGTTCTATTACAGTATTTACGGTAGTTGCTTTCAACTTTCAACTTCTTAATAAGCAAAATCCATAATAAAGCTACTCCAGAAAATATTCGAAAGCTCTGATATCAGTGCTGATTTTTCTGAATTCCGGATTATTGCGGGTCAATCTGGTTAAAGCAGAGATAAGAAGAAAGAGCCGTACTTTATGAAATGAAAAAAGGAAAATGCAAACCATTTTCTCACCTTTAGATATTGTTTTAGTTTTAAAAATCGAAAATGCTCAACAATCATGTTCTGGATTGAGTTTTTGTAAAGCTCACAGGTCTAACTAGGCGTCATTGTTCTGATTTTTCACTAACTAACGATTAAAGCTGGCACTTACTAGCTTTTGATACCACTTTCACTCATAATAGATCTACAATACATAATAGATTTACGGTAGTTGCTTTCAACTTTCATCTTCTTGTGTTTTAACTCAACTTTACTATGAATAAGGACTCAATTTTGCTAAAGAACTTATAAAATCTTATAAGTTCTTTAGCTTTACTTATCAAATCGAAAGAAAACCTACACATCGATGCGGACACCATTCCTGATCGTTCTCCTTTTGCTTCATATTTTGCAGTTTCCGCAAACGATTCAAACGCTTTTGACTCACGCCCGATTTCTCTTCGTCCAGATGTTTTTGTAGTTGTGTCGTTTTGAGCACGAGGGTTCCTGAAAAAAAAACGTTTTTTATTTAAGTTTTTAGTGGTTTTGATTACAAAATACTCTAGTTTTCTTGCTCAATCATAAATAACTCAAAAAAAATGAAGTAGCAAAGGCATAAAGTTACTAAAGTTTTTGAAAAACGAGACAGAAAAAGCCGGATTGACAGGTTTATAGAGGGGAAAAAAACGGGAATTCCGAGTGAAAACATGGGCGAAAACGAGATAAGAGTGAGTGAATTTATTATCTTGATCAGCTGACCCTCTCCTTTCCCATTCAAAATCGATATTCAGTGGAGAAATAGGAGAAAAGTGATGGGAAAATGCTGTTTACCACACTTTTCACTTTCCCTCTTTTTCTAGGGATCAGGATGAGTTGATGGGGGAATCAGTGAGCTCAATAGAGGGAACGAGTGTTGTTTGAGAGTTTGGGGGGAAAGAGAAGCGATTGATCGATCGATTAATTGATCGAAATTGGCTCTGAAATTTGGTTTCTAGTCTTGTTTAAGTCTTTTTTAGTCTAGTTTTAGATGTAAATCAAAATTGGCCAAAATGTTGGAAAAAGAATTGCAGAATTCAAAAAGAAACAACGCTAAAGCTCTAAAACTTGCTGTTGCCATTCAAATTTCTAATTCTTATGAACAATTTGACAATTTCTTACTTTACTGAAAACTTTACTGAGCTTTAAGCCGAGCTTTGCCTTAAGCCGAGCCTTGCCTTAAGCCGAGCCTTGCCTTAAGCCAAGCTTTGCCTTAAGCTGAGCTTTGCCTTAAGCCGAGCTTTGCCTTAAGCTGAGCTTTGCCTTAAGCTGAGCTTTGCCTTGAGCTTTAAGATTTAAACTTCAAGTTTAATAATCATTTCAAAAGCTCAATCCATTTCGCAATCCATTTTGCTCAATCAAATTTGCTTTTCAAATTTGCTCTTCAAGTTTAATAATCAATTCAAATGAAAAATCGATGGAGTTTTTGAAATTTTCGCATAGCTGAAGAGAGTCTTTCATCTTTAGAGAAAAATTAATGAAGAAAAGAGAGAAGATCGTATGGATAAGGTAAAAAGAACGAAAAAGCATCGTGCAAAGAAGAAATTTTCTTGTCATTCAATTGCTGAATTAGTTGTTCAACTAAATTTTTCGTTTCATGAACAAAAATGGAAATTTCCCGAGCTGTTTTTGTTATGGTTCTTGGGTGCAGCTGTGATCTTGAAATTGGCAAGACAATGGCAAAGCTGTGATCTTGAAATTGACAAGAAAGTGAAGATTAGAGGTTGAATGAAAAAATTTAAGAATACTATAATTAGAATTTAAATTTAGAAATGTTTGGCTTAGCTTTCATTGACTATAAGAAGGAAGGATTGCATCATTAGTGGAAGGGAGGGAAGAGGAAGAGGGGAGAGCACAATGAACGATCATTCTTTGATGGGGAAAAGTTCACAAAGATTGTTTAGACTTTGTCAAACGGACTATTCAGCAAGCTATTTTACTCTTGAAAGCGATTTTTAAACAAATTTGCTTTTCAAAGGTTATGCTGACTTTTTGCTTGAAAAACAAGCTATTTCATTTGTCAACTGGTACTTTGTAGATCTAAAATGTTTTCTAGAACTTCAAAACAACACTGGCTTTGGTTAGAAGCAATCAAATTGTATACAAAGCTACACTAAAACGGAAACTTATCCTAGAATATCAAAAGTAACACTAGTTTTGATTAGTTGTTACATTCAAATTGAATTCAAATTCAATTCCAATTGGATACATTCCATTTGGAACCTCTAAAACTTATCATAGACTTCAAAAACAATACAGATTTTGACTAGATGCATTAGAATTGTATCCTAAACTTTAATAGCTCTAAAAATATCCGAAAACTTTAAAATCAACAATGGGTTTTGGCTTGAAAACATGAAAAAAATAAGCCAAACTTTTCAAGAGACTAAAATTTATTCTAAGATTTTAAAAACGATAATAGTTTTCGTTAGAAAACATTCAGTTGGCTTTTCAAACCAAAATTTATCCTAAAATCCTATCCTAAATCCAAAAATAACAATAGCTTTAGTTGGTAAAGAGGTGTAGAACAAGGAGGTGATGTGTGAAACGAGAAAAACCTCAGGTTTTACACTGATTCCCCTTTCCATTCTTCTACTTGAATAAGCTAACACAGCAACAACCTGTCCTATCTTTTTTGAGGCAAGACGAACACCAGCCTTTCACTGAACAAAACAAGTGTGAAAAGTGGCAACCCAACTATGGACAAGTGAAAGGAAATCGGAGAAAAAATGGAGTGAAGGCATTGCCTGTTCACTTTTCTCGAGAGTTCGCAAAGCTTTCTTTCTTTCTTTCTTTTCTCTTTCCTTTCACACTTTTTGTTGTTCTGTTGTAAAGTGGAACTCTTTTCTCTCACACTAATCGCATTTCGATGAACACAAAAACTTCAATAATGAATGTAATCAGTTTAGGGGCAAGTTTTGGTCTGGGTAAGTTAAAATTTGACCTATGAACTCAAAAAGATGCTAGATTTTGAGAAATTGTACGATTCAAATGAAAGCTTCAAAGAAACAGGTCAAAGAAACCTCAAGCCTAAGCAACAGGTTCAAAAATTTGTCCCACATTTAAATTCACTTTCCATATGCAATTCTTGGAAAATGGGTGAAGAACGTGATCCGCTTTTTGTTCATTAAAATTCACTTGATCTATCTGAGCGAAAAAGTGAGAACAATATGAACAAGAGGACTCGAACCCTCAAGGTTTAGAGCCAAAGCCTAGCGCATTACCAATGAGCCAAGAGAGGGGCTGAGAGGGGTGACTACTTTGGGGTAATAAGGTAATCTCACCTTCAAATATTTACAAAACCTTCAAAATCAAAACAACTCACTTAACATGATTTGCTCTTGCAGATGCTGTCTGTTCTTTACGAATCCTTTTTGTTGTTTTAGGCCATTCACCACGTCGCCGCTCACCTGAATTAAAAATCGATTTTTCTTTTCTGCCAAAGTTCTCTTGCCAAAATGCCAAATTATGATTCAGTTCTCGACCAAATCACGTTTGATTGAAACGTTTTTGATTGAAAACTTTTTGATTCAAGTTTTACCTCGCAGAGTTCTAGTAGAGAGATTTTAGCATCCTTCAACAAACGCTTCTGCCATTGGCTCAAGTGATGGGGATTTCGGAAATCGGGTTGATGCTGAAAATTCGCTGAGATTATAGTATTAGTTTACAAGCTTTACAAGAATGGCTACCGTAAATCCTTTATTAGACCAGCCCTCAAAAAGGTATCGAAAAATAGAGCGGTACCCCAAATTCACATATGAAAAAGAAGTATTACCTAGATTTCAACACTTTCAATTGAACAACTGAATATTTTTTGTTTCCGACTTTGTTTGAGTCTGCTTTTGATTCTGCTTTTTTAATTTTTTTTTGCTTTTATTATAAAACTTAACGCGTTTCTTTCTTTTTTAACTTTATGCTACATTTATTAATATTTTATTTTTAGGTGATGGAGACGTCGATCGAAGAAATGATCAAAAAGCAATCACTCAAGCGATCGTTGGATGAAATCAGCGATGCTTTTGCCGAATTTTGTGATCATCGGGATTATGAACAAGGATTAAATGCTTCGATGACGATGGAAGTGAAATCGGAGTAGATAAGGAAACGAGAGAAACGACCGAACGAGGAAAGGATGCACATGAAGTCGAGGATTTGACGAGTGCCGAGGCGAGAATTGATTGTTAACCGAAAAGCCTGAGATCACTAAAGGAGGAAACCACAAACCACCATCAATAGAGCTATACTTGGAATGGAACGGCGTGGGAGAAGCTTTTGGAAGCGATGATTGCAGATTCATTTAAAAAATGTGGAATCACTATAGCAATCGATGGATCAGAAGACTAGCTCGTTCATTGCTTCAAAACGAGTGGATCTACCGATATCAAAACGATATCCAACCGGATATCAAAAGCTGAAGGATACTCGAATGAATTAAGAAGTTTTGGCTCTTCTTGAAGGACTAGATACCACCGAAAATGATGAATCATCATTTTCGATCATCAATTATCATAAATGGTGATTCAAAGAGGTTCATTTGGTTTACTTTGGTAGATGGTTTCTAACATTACAGGGTGATCGAAAGTTCCCGCACAAAAGAAGCTCCATTTTTCAACTAAAATCCAGATCGAAACTGGGTTTACTATATAGTATTTTGAAGCTGAAATTCTGGGGAGAATTTCCACATTTAAACCATCCTGATCAGAACCACCTAGCTCTCTAAAGAAGCTTTGTAGTGCGCTGGAGGCAAACAACCATGGCGCTCACCTATTTAAACTTGTTTTCAATCGAAAAATCCTTCAAAAAGCCTTTTTAAATTTACACTTTTGTTTTAAGTAGCATTTTAGTTGTTATTTTAAAAGAATAAAATCTCTCGTCAAAATAAAAACGTAAAATAGCCTTCGAAAAAATTCGAAACTGGGCGGTTTGTCTTGAATGCAGTGCAAAGCTTCTTAAAAAAGGCTGGAAATTTCTGATCGGAGTGATTTACTTATAGAAATGTTCATCAGAATTTCAGCTTCAAAATGCTATAAAACACGGGAAATTTTGTTTTAGCTTTCATTTAGAAAATGAAAAATTTACAAGTGTGCGGGAACTTTTTGATCACCCTGTAAACCGGCACTCAAAAGGGGTATCGAAAAATAGAGCGGCATGCCGGACTAATAGAGGATTTATGGCAACTAAGGTCAAAATCTTGGCTTAGATTTTCATAAAATCTCACATCTTGTTCTGTCAATCCACTCTCGTCAATCGCGTACTCCCAAACTTGCTCCTCCGTCTTTGGTCTCTCTTCTCCTAGCGTATCCTTATAGGTTAACATGCATTTCATCAACACTCGGAATATCAGGCACATGTTCAAGAAATGGGAGACCGGCTCGTAGACTGCTTCTGGAAATTATATTCTTGATTCTGGAGCTTCTTATGGCTGCTTACCTTCTTCATTCATCCTTGTCAACACGATGTACTCTGCCATGTGGTTGGCTGTTTGTTGCAGACAATCGAATTCCATATCAGTCTTTCTAAATGTTTTATTCATGCAAACCTTGAAGATTTTCGACTTACAGAGTAACGGTACTCGCAAAAACCATCGCTATCCACAACGATTCCAACATTGTCAACTTGTGAAGCTCAGCCAAGAAGTTATTGTTTTGACTTGAGTCATCTGCTGACGAGTAGGTCACGGAGTCGAGCTAAAAACGTCATATTTGATTAACGTCATATTGTTTTTTCTACCTTATATGTTTGCTTTCTGATCTCAAAGACGAGAGGGTAGATCGATCGAAGGAAATAGAAAGTGATTCCTCTTCTGGGCAATGCTGTTAACACTGACAAGTCGAAGTTCTCAAGTCTTTTCATGAATACTTGATCTTCATGTCGGACATCGATTTTTGCCCTGTAAATGACTGAAATTTAGCTTTATAGTAGCATTTTTATAAGGCTGTCCAGAAAAGTCTTTTTGTTTCTTTTCGTACTTCCGTTGAAAGACAACAAATTCACCAATTGAACTACGGTTTCATCAGAAAGGCCAAATTGAATTGAATTGAACCGAAATTGACTTAAAAAGATGGAAAATCGAACAATAAACACTTTTTATATAGAGAAAACTATAGGTTAATTGGTGAATTTGTTATTTTTCAACGAAAGTATGAAAATGAACGAAAAGACTTTCTGGACAGCCTATAGTTTCTTAGCAAACTCACCAGAACGCGTGCGAGTTGTTGTTTTGCTTGATCATCTCTTGGACTTGGCTCACATGGTAGGTGTATTCATTTGCAGGTGGTGCCTGAATTGAATAGTTCATTAAAAACGTAGACAACTCAGCCGTTTTAAAGCTGACATTACATTCAAAAGCTGACTCTAGTTATCAAAGCTATTTCTTTTTGGAGTTTCTGAACATCTTTTGTTTTTCTTTTGCATCTTTTGCAAACCCCTTGCGAGAGTCGAGAAGAAAAAGTAATCAAAAATGGCCAATTCAAAATGATTCGATTTGGACACTTTCGTCCACGGAAACCTATCTTGGTGTCAATAGAAAAAAGATAGAGCATAAGAAGTTAGCCAAATTTAGCCAAATACTTAGCTAAATAGTTCGCCAAATAGCCAATATAGCCAAAATTTCAGATCAATCTATCCAGTCTATTTTCTTCTATCCCAATTCTACGAATTTTCAGAAAAATGGAAATCTTTCCTTAAGACTACTTTGAAACAGGCTCAAATACGCTTTAAAAAATAATAATATGTAGACGATAAACGTTTCTAATAAAGCAAAACCAATATTTTACCTCTTCCGCGTTTTGCCCTTTGTATGAGAAATCTCCAAAGTGTCTTGCTGCTTCAGCTGCCTCCTGAAATATCGTTTAGCTATTGTTGATTGAATAATTTAATTCCAACAGCAAGAATACAATATTGTAAACAAACAAAACAAAACAGTAAACAGTAAACAAACCTTCAAAACCCTTTCCGCGATCGTTTTCCTCCATTTCGGATCCGAACTCACATAGAAATCTTTCATCGTATGCGCATATCCAGCTATTAAACTAGTGATCGAGTAACGAATGAATCCAACTTGTAGCCTAAAATTTGATAATTTCAATATTTTTCTCCTTCAAACTCACACATCAGCCTCATACGCTTCTTTGAATCGCTCTTGACTCAATATTAAATCGTTGCTCGACTTGAGATTCAACTCGGCGAAATTCTTTGTGTATGGATAGACGTGACAGTTGCAACTAAAAAAAAAGAAATTGATCAAATAAACAAACAAACTTAATAACTTAGCAAACAAATAAACAAATAAACAAACAAACAAATAAACAAACAAACAAACAAACAAACAAACAAATAAATAAACAAACAAATAAACAAACAAACAAATAAACAACAAAAAAAAATATAAATAAGTTTTTTGTATAAATCTGGTCTAAAAGTGTAAAAAGCTTACTCAAAAATCAGTTTTCGCACTTTCTCTTGCTTGCAATGCTTTCTTCTCCATGTGTTTCTGTGTGGTAAACAACAAAATGGAATCTCGTCCTGAAAAGTTAAGAATTGATATAATTCTAGAGTCCAACTATATTTGTGTCCTTTTTATCTATAATTGTAAAAATTTTCGGTACTTGTGTGGTTTACACGGGCCTTTTTTTTCTCGAAATCGACCATTTCAGGGGTTTTAAGGTGCGCTGAATCCGAATTTCGCTAAACCAGGTTGGGAAAATGCACTCCAACCGAGATATACAATTTTTGAAAAACTTGAAAAACAAAAAACTCTGTTTTTAAGCGTTTTTGATGCTTTAAATGCAAAACTCTGCATAATAAATGAAAATTTCACTAATTCGTTAACTTTAATTCTTTTTTTGTGGTTTTAAAGAGAGCCGTTGGGGGTTCGTTGAGAAGAGTTTTATTGCTCACAGAGCTTTACATGTCATTCTCTGATTTATTCTTGAACTTGATTCCAGCAAGTTCAAGAATAAATCATGACCAAATTGCTTGCTTCCATAGGAACTCATTGATGATGTCGGTGTAGCATCAGCATCCGATCATTCGATCGGATGCTGATTTGATTTTTTGGTTACTTTCAAGACCTTTATAAAGACCTTAGACGTTTTTGGGCAGATTAAACAAGCCAAGCCCATTGGGTTAAGCCGAACTCTTAGTAAAATTCGCATTTAAAACATCAAAAAAACGCCTTAAAATACACGTTTTCACGTTTTCGTTTCAAAATTGTATATCTCGATTGGAGTGCATTTTTCCCAACTTGGGATAGCAAAATTCGGATTCAGCGCACCTTAAAACCCCTGAAATAGTCGATTTCGGAAAAAAATGGGTCATTTATAACAAATTTTCCCACCTTCAATCCCTTTTCCCCGTTCTTGTTCGGATTTTTCAAATCCTCCAAATCCTTTTGTAGTTGCTCGTTCAACTTTCTGCAACCATCGTTCGCGAATGATTTTGATGAATCAGCCTAAATCTCTCCATATATTTCTCCAATATTTCTACTGACCATTGAATCTTGCTGATCGTTTTGTCGTAGTACTTCCGTAGCCGCAACGATTTCTTCTTCCTCATCATCGTCACTCGACGAGCCGCTTGTGGATGGACTGAAAAATAATGGCATTAAGCATTAAAAACTAGCTACTGTTCTAAACAAAACAACAAACAACGATAAAATTTTCGTTTAAAAGCCAACTCACTCTCTTTCATGGTAATTCTCGAGTTCCCTCTCTTGTCGCTTTCGTTTCAGTTGATCTTCGCGCTCGCGGATCGTTTTCGGAGCATTCGCCACTAAAAAGGATATTAATTGAGTTATCTGGTTTCTAATTAATAAACTAAAGTAAGGAATGGTCAAGAAAAATTTCTAGATAGGGAATTGAACCCTCCACCTTTTTGCTTTCCAGGCAGATGCTCTAACCACTGAGCTATTCGGTACTTGCTAGAGAAGAAAGAAGGGGAAGAGAAAGAAAGAGAAAGAAAGAAAGAAAGAAAGAAAGAAAGAAAGAGAAACTCACATCTAGCGTTTGGTGTGCTGTTGTCAATCTCTTCAATCGCGTTCATCACCGCAACATCATCATCCTCTTCGTCATCCGATGAAGCGGCGCCTCCCCATTTCGCGAAATCCCAGCTCCCGTACGCGTTAGCCATGTGCTCGTTACGAGTCTGAAAGTTTAGAATAGAAAAATAAACTCGAACGAAGTAGAATGAAAATAAAAACTGTAAAAATTGAAGTGTTTCCAGTTCTGCTACCAGATTTATTTTAATTAGGGTACTCTGCTACTTTAATTGCTGCTCAAAGACAATTGCAATAATGATTGACTATAATTGACTATAATTGACTATAATTGACTTATAATAGACTTATAATAGACTTATAATTGTAATTGAGTGTAAAATTTTAACTGTAATTGATAGTTTCTGTATTGTTTTTTTACGATTTTTCTCGATAACTCACCATGAAGCGATGCAAATACAGCCCGGACCCACATTTGTGCGAAGGAGCATTCCCTGGTTCTTCGAGTGTTAGACGACGATTCTAAATTAGTGATGATCGTTAAACTTTTCAAATAAAAACAAATACAAATCAAATCTATAATCTAAAAATTTAGTCTACAAATCTAATCTACAAATCTAATCTACAAATCTAATCTAAAAATCTAATCTACAAATACCAATTCATCAGCCGGTATTCCACAAATGATCAAATGAGAAAGTTGACAAGAATCACATCCACAGCGCTCTTCTCCACAAGCTTCACAATTGATCTTCGTTGAATCGCGCTCACTTTCTTCTGAAAACGGAATAAAGTACAACGAAGGTTCAAAAGTTTACAGAAGTGCTTGCTTTTTAAAACTTACCGGCACAAACAGTTTGCACATTCAATCCCCGATCGAACATTTGATTGAGACGACCAAGAAACGCCTCATCGTCCTCGCGATCTTCCGGGTTTTCCGAGGATTGAAATCTGAATCAAAGCTTGGACTTAAAAAAACGAATTCTTTCAAATTCTTTACAATTCAATCTAACTTTACAATTTTACAACGTTACAATCTAACTTTTCCTAAAATTCCATTTAAATTCTTGAGCTTTTGGAGAATCCTGTACATTCGTCATTTCATTTAGCCACGTTTTATTATAAATCTCCCTCAAATCTACTTTTTCTTTCCAACTCTTCCTTTCTTCTGCCTCCTTGTCTTTCCTTCTTTCTCTTGGCAAGTTAAGGTACAGGATAGTTCAGCGGTTAGAGCAATTGCTCGGTTGAGGATCGAGGTGAACGGTTCAATCAGTTGGAAGATAAAAAAAGATCAAAAACTTGCGCGACTCAAACCCACGACCTTTCGCTTACCGGGCTTACTAACCTTTCGCTACCTTTCGCTTACCTTTCGCTTACCTTTCGCTTACTTTTCGCTTACCCCATTACACCACAACGCAGTGGATCTGTTTTACTCCAGAGGGATCTGTTTTACTCCAGAGGGATCTGTTTTACTCCAGAGTTAACTTCCCTCCTCTCTGGACGAGACGGTTCCACACGTCTCGATTTATTAACTTCCTCTGGAGAAGGAGGGGTTAAGTGCGTTGTGGTGTAATGGTTAGCACATTTCAAATAAAAACAAATACAAATCAAATCTATAATCTAAAAATCTAATCTAAAAATCTAATGTAAGCAAAAGGTCGCTGGTTCGAGTCCCGGTGGCCCACAAGTTTTGGTTTGCCCTAGTTCCAACTCGTTTTTAACCTTGAACTTTCTCTAAAAACTTGAACTTTCTCCCCTACTCCAAAGGGAGTTAACTAATCTAACTCATCAACTAATCAACTAACTTCGGAAATCTTTTTCTTGTCAATTCCTTCACTTTTCTTTTCCTTAAGTCTTTCCGTAACTTTTCTACACAAACCTTTTGCTAAAAGCTTCTTCAAAAGCTCGACAACAACTCCCGGATGGACTTTGAACAATCTTCGAGAACCAACGAAGGTACCGACGATGAGACAGGAAAAACTCCTCGTCTTCGACGATTCTCTTCTGGACTTCTTGACCCAACTTCTGAAAGAAATAAGCTACAAAATTTAGTTTCCATTTACCGAATTGAAGTCCTCTTTCGCGTATTCTTTTACTTTCGCATCAGCGTTTTTGAAGATTTCCCTTGAAGTCAACATGAGTCGACGCAAAAGACGAAACGATTTCGCGAGTTGTTGATGAGAGAAATTGTTGTTGCCGTATTCTTTCAAACTGAAAAAGAATTTAAAGGTTTAAAGAGCTTTAAAGAGCAAATCTAAATCTAAAAGAGCAAATTTAAATCTAAAAGAACAAATCCAAATGCTTTAAACTTTATAGAAGTTTAGTAACTCAAAAATTTCATCGCTCAATTGCTACCTTCTTTCCTCTTCTTGTTCGGCTGTGTCATGCACACTCCCACGGAGATCGCAGCTAAATTTACACCAGTTTTTGTAAATTTGCAAGATTATGTGCTACGTCCTGTTCCGAACAGGACCTCCAAAACGGAATAAGAAAAAAACAAGACAAATAAATAAATAAACAAATACAAATCTAAACAAAAAACTACGCGACTGTACGAGGGGGTGGGGTACTATTACAGTATTTACGGTATAACTCTACTCTAAACGAAGGGTGATTAAAAAACTAATCACAGCTTTAAACTTCGACATACTCTGGCTACAGAACAAGCCAAAATTCGGCTAATTTTGATGCTAATTTGACATAAACTTTTTTGAAAAAACCCCTGTGGTACCCCTCATGAAACTTTACAATTTTTTTTGACTCTGATCTTTCTAAAAATTCAGAGATAACCCATTTCGAGGGCGAGAAATCGTTTGGTGACATCAGAAAAATAGGTTGCCGTCAAAAAAAAACAGCAACTATTGTAAAAATACAAGCACATTTCCTAAGTTTAGCAAAATTGCTTCTCCATTTAGCGCTTAGCATTTAGCATTTAGCATTTAGCATCTAGCAAAATTGCTAGATGGTAAATCTTTGGTAAATAGTTTGGTGGATCTGTTCGGAACAGGACACTTATTCCATTTAGACGTAAGATATCCATTTCAATTGCCACTTTGCAACTTTTCACAGACCCGATGACTTCTTCCACAACTTCGAGCTCAATCTTCATCAAGGCGTCCTTGTAGATAATCGAGTCAAACAAATAATGATTCAAAACCCTCCAATTAATGCCGATTTGCGTGAAATGTTGATCCTAATTGTTTTTATGTTTGTAAACTTTGTAATTTCTTAAACACTACCATTTCACTAAACAAAGCACACATATTGTTGACGGTGCGGTGGTTTTGAGTGAACTTTTCGAGTAAAAGCTTGAGAAAGGTGATCGTGTGCTCCGGGGTGGTCACTTCGAAGATGCCCGGCTCATCGATTTCCTGAAGTTTAAAAAACTTTTTGAATAGGTTTGAATAGGTTTGAATAGGCTTTTGAATAGGTTTTTGAATAGGTTAAATAGGTTTGAAGGTTTAGGTACAATAGGTTTGAAGGTTTAGGTACAATAGGTTTGAAGGTTTAGGTACAATAGGCTTGTTTGTTGGACCAAAACAATTTGTCAATCAATCAAATCAATTTGTTGGAGCATTGTTGGGTTAAATTGGGTTGCTTTGGCTTAACTGATACCGATTTCAAAAATAAAGCCATGTCCAGCTTCATATCAACTGTTTACTTAAAGTATTGATAAAGTTTTTGAAGCTAATGAGCCTGCTTAGAGTGTGTTCCTCATGCGCTTTCTAAATTAGCTTTCTTCTTTTCTAAACCGTGCGCTTCAAAAAGGCTACCATAGTTATGTAAATTGGTTTATACGCAAATGTAAATTTCTTTTGTCATAACTTTCTTCTAAATGGGTCAATCTTTATGATTTTAATGTCATTTTGTTGCACTTATTGAGATCTACAAAATGACATTAAAATCATAAAGATTGGCCGACTCAGAAGAAAGTTATGGCGAATTGCGCAAATAACACGGCTCAACGCTACAAGACGATTCTGGAGAATGATCTTCTACCGTTTTCGACCGCAAATATGGGCCAAGGTTGGTTGTTGTACCGGGATAATGCCCCGTGCCACAAGTCATAGCTGCTGATGGGACGCCGTGTTATTTGCGCAACTCACCATAACTTTTTTTCTAAGTGAACCAATCTTTATGATTTTAATGTCATTTTGTAGATCTCAACAAGTGCAACAAAATGACACTAAAATCATAAAGATTGACCCATTTAGAAGAAAGTTATGGTGAATTGCACAAATGGCCCAGTGGCGGAAAAAATTTGAGTAGCAAAGTAACCCCCTGCGTTTTCTTGCGTTTGCTTTAATTTGCATATGCACCAATTTGTTTAATTTGTTTTGTTTAATTGGTTTTGTTTAATTTGTTTTGTTTAATTGGTTTAATTTGTTTAATTGACGCCTTGATTGAGACAAATCTTGAATCTTGATCTGACCTTTGATCGTTAAAAGTTTGTCTATGTAAATTTATTGAATTAATGATTGAATCACGAGGAACACACTCTAACCCTGCTTGTCTTTTTTTGCCTCACCTCAACTTTGGCATCTTTATTATTGGAGATGAGATGCGTCCACAAGTCGACTTTCATCGCCATCACATGCTCGTGCACGATCGACTCCATTCGGCGTAGAAGCTGATGAGCATCCACTTGTGCCAGGCTAAAGTAGCATTTAAACGATAATTTTTAGCTGTTTTGTAGCTGTTAGCTCTTTTGTAGCTGTTAGCTGTTTTCTAGCTGTTAGCTGTTTTGTAGCTATTAGCTCTTTTCTAGCTATTAGCTCTTTTGTAGCTATTAGCTCTTTTCTAGCTGTTAGCTCTTTTGTAGCTATTAGCTGTTTTAGATAAACATTAACGTACAGTTCAATATCTTGCTTCACCGTCGTCACATCGAATGGTTTCCCAGTTGTTAAACTCTTGAACTCATCTGAAATTTGGGTTTTGGATCATTTTGTTCACTTTGTTAAAGGTTAAATTGTCGTTTAAATCGCTGCTTGAATCACCTGAATAGCTAAATCATTAGCTTACGGTGCTCATAATATTCTCAAAATCTCATAATATTCTCAAAATCTCATAATATTTCCCCAATCTTCCCAAATTCTCAAACTCCTCACCATCGACTCCTTGTGCCAACATCTTCCTTACATTGTTTCTCACATTGTTCCACCGCTCACGCACCAAATCACAATTCATTTTGTTGAGAGGCATTTTGTGCCTGAAAACTAGTGAAAACTAGTGAACAAAACAATTTTAATGCAAAAAAAATCAATATTAGAAAAATTTGAATGTGCAATTCATAGAGAAAAGTAAAAATGAATGAAAGCTATTTCATTAAACAGCGTCTTTCTATTCTTTTGTCAATTTTAACGTTACAAAACATGTAAAAAAACTGAATACATCTCATTTTCTTGCCAATATTCTTCTTTCATCAACTAGACATGCTTAAAAACAAAAACTAATGTATCAGATTGGCTAAAATCTTGTCCGCTTTTTTAAAGGTTACTTTTTAAGAAAAATAATCAATCAATCGATCTATTGTTTATTTTAACAGAAAGTTCTATTGTTTATTTACAAATCTCCCTTTAAGAAATGCTAAAAAGCTCGCGTTAGTTAATTTTTTTTAAAGTCTAAAGTCGAGCAGTCAAAAACGATGAAACTCAAAGAAAGTTTCGAATTTGAGCCACAGATTTGAGCTTTTTTTTGTCAAAGAAATTTATTTTGGTGTTAAAAGACAAAAGATAAAGAATAAAAAGTTAAGCAGATAGACGAATTTTTAGAGAATTCAGCCGATTAGAGGATTTAATTCAACCGATTTCATTTTATTGATCGTTTGGATAATGGAAAGAGCTGGGTTGAAGCCCGGGTATTTGATAGGTAAATGACAAGAGAGTCACAAGGCTGAGGTGGCCAAAAGACAAGAGCCATAACCATACGACGCAGAATTTTACACTGATTCCGGCGCCGTTATACGCTATTCATTGCATGTCAAACAATGTATTGGGTTGGTGAATTGAAAACTACGGGACTTTGAACTAAAATTTATTCAACATAAAACCATCAATTCATTCAAAATAATTTCCATTATTATTGACGACTTCTGCCCATTTTACAGGCAATTTGCGGATTCCTCTTTGGTAGTAGGATTTTGGTTTGTGTGTGAGACAAGTGTGAGACTCAAAAATGGAGGACTGGACTTTGAGAATGGAGGACTGGACTCCCAGTTTGAGCACTTTCTTCAAAAGAAACCCATTTTGGTGTCAATAGAAAAGTTGTAGAGAATCAAAAATTAGGCTTATAGCCAAATTTCCAAAAAGATACACTTAGTAGTTTCGCTTAAAATGCAAGTTTTGTTGCAAGCTTTGTGAAAATTCGTAAATTTGGCATTTCTTGAAAATCAGTTTTTGAATCGTTCTGAAAATTTGGATATAAGCTTAATTTTTGATTCTCTACAACTTTTCCATTGACACCAAAATGGGTTTCTTTTGAAGAAAGTGCTCAAACTGTCACATATGACAATAGCGGGCAGTTTTCAATTCACCAACCCAATATATCCATTGTAAGAATTATCCAAAACAAGAATTCTCGTTTGGTTTGCTTTGCCTTTGCTTCAAATTTGCCTAAATGACTCAAATTGCGGACTCAAATTGCGGCATTTGCCTAAAAGCGAGCTAAATGAAATCGTTAATCTTTTTTATTTAAAGCAAACCACATTGATCGGCTTTTATTTATAAAAGGCAATAGCCGGCAATTTTCAATTCGCCAACCCAATAGATCCATTGTAGGGATTATCCAAAAAAGGCGGAAAAAACCTGGCCTTTCTAGCCTTTCTAGCCTTTCTAGCTAAATCAATAAAATATCAAAAGCCAAAAAATCGATAGGATTCTCGAATGATTAAACAATTCACAAGGTTCAAACAAACTGGACTGAATCGGTTCTTTGTCAATACTTGCCCCTCTTTTCCTAGCTCTTGTTTGGTTGGATATCCGAGTGAAGTGAGCATCTGTGGCGGCTGTTCGTGCTTCTAGTTGATAGAGAAAAAGTGGAGAAAGAGAAAAAAGAGAAAAAAGAGAGAAAAAAAGAGCGAAAAGAAAACAGATCAGAGAAAATCGATGAATCTGGTCCTTTTCCTTTGCCTTTCACCCTTTCTTTACTCATAACTTTTCCCCAATCATTTCCCGGATCTCTCTCAGAGAAAAGGGGCCAGTTGTCGTCTGTTCTTGAGATTCCCGTCTTTTCAACCAAAAAGTATTCCGTTTCTTAGCAGTTATCTAAAACTGAAAAAATCTCGTGGTTTAGGAGCAATGTCTTTCCTTATAAATCGCTTAAAACTAGAATTCGATTTGAAAATTAAAAAGAGACTGTCAAAGAGGCAAAAATACGCAAAAATACGATTTACGCATCATTTTATTCTACAGTTTTTTGGGTTTCTCGGCGATGAGTGAATGAAATTCAATTTGGTTTATTTCCATAGTTTTGTCTATGGAATATGCATTTTATGACAAATTTTCGGAGATTTTAGTTGAAAATTCGCAATCTGGTGCAGCTTTTTATCGCTTCATCACTTTTTTGTCCCTACTATTAGGGAAAATACGGTAATTTGAGTCAAGAGTTGGGTAAATCAGTAAAATTGTCAATAAAAGCAGGAATAAAGTGAACTGCTGTTAAATGAAAACCTGGAATATCATAGTTTATAATCTTAAATCATTTACAAAGCTCATTTTTCAGAAATAGAACTGTTTTTGAGCTCCAATGACAAAGAACGAAAGCCAAGAAGTGAAAAGGAACCGAATGAAAGCAGAAAAGAGACCGGTCACCTTTTATACGCGCCCCGTTTCCTTTGCCATTGGCAATCCAACTTTGAGCTCAAATATCTTGGTGTTGGGCTGTTCAATTGAATAATTTTTGTATCAATCGAGAGAGAAAGACTTGGCGCATCCAATGATACCAAGAATATTTAAATTGAACAGCCCAACACCAAGATATTCAAGTTCAAAGTTAGATTGCCAATGGCAAAAAGGACGGGGTGACGGACCTTTTATACGCGCCCCGCCCCTTTCGCCATTGGCAATACAACTTTGAGCTCAAATATCTTGGTTTTGGGTTGTCCAATTTAGATTGTTTTTACACCAATCGACAGAGAAAGACTTGAAGCATCCAATGATACCAAGAATATTTAAATTGAACAGCCCAGCACCAAGATATTTGAGCTCAAAGTTAGATTGCCAATGGCAAAAGGGCTGGGCGCGTATAAAATATAAATGCGTATATTAAATGCACGATAACCATACGAAAAAGACAGAAATTTGCATTTATGACGGAGAATGTTAATTAGAGGTGGTATTTTGCCCACGCTTTAGTGCGCTATCTAAATTTTGTTTCGGAAAAGGTCACAGTCTCTTCTACACGATTTTGGAAGAATTGGTAACCGATTTTGCAATTTATTTTGCAAATCAGAACGATTTTTAGAAAAAAACCCTCAAAATTGAAAAAAGTTTGTACAAGCTCTTCCAAATATGTCTATTATCTCACTCTTTTTTGTTCTCTGAACCAAAATCAAAACCAAAATCTCTAAAAAAAACAATTTTGACAAGTTTTTCTATTTAAACGGAACCAAATTCAAAATATCGATGAGAAAACATTGATAAAAGAAAGCGAAAAGGAAATGATAAGGAAATAAGGGCTAGTTTTTGATGGTAGCCTGGGAAAGCCTGGGAAAAGAAAAAGTACGAGCGTGGCAAGTAGCCAAAGCTAGTTTTTTAAAAAATAAGCTAGCTAAAACTAGCTAAAACTAGCTAAAAGCAATATTTCTATCTTTTTTTCGAATCTATTTGCTAACTTGTTAAATAAGTACAAAAATTTTAGAGCTTCTAGCTTCTAGCTTCTAGAAATTGTCCTTAAAAAAGCCTGAAACTGATATTTGAAAAGTAAAGAAAGCTTGAAACTGATAAAGCTGGATTGGACAGTCCAATACCAAGATATTTAAGCTCAAAGTTAGATTGCCAATAGCAAAAGGGTTGGGCGCGAAGCTTGAAAAGCTGGAAACTGATAAAATCTTAAAAATTTCTGAAAAATTGTTTACAAACAAAACTTGTCTTTAAAATAAAATAAAATAAAATAAAATAAGGTAGAGAAAAGTAGTTGAATGAGAGAGATAAACAGGGAAAAGCCTTGGCCCATCTTTTAGAGTCGATTCCCAAGTTTCTTTTCCCCTCGAAAACCTCCCGATCACTGCTCGACACAGCCAATCGATGAGTGTGTATGTGGTGAATAGGAAAAAGAAGGATAAGAGAGAGAAGAAGAAGAGAGAGAAGAAGAAGAGAGAAGAAGAGAGAGGAGAAGAAGAGAGAGAAGAAGAAGAGAGAGAAGAAGAAGAGAGAGAAGAAGAGAGAAGAGAAGAAGAAGAGAGAAGAAGAAGAGAGGGAAGAAGAAGAGAGAGAAGAAGAAGAGAGATCGGCTCTCTTCCCTTTTTCCATTCCACTCTCTCTGAACTCTCGAAAATCTCTCCCCTCTACTCGATAAACACACTCTCTCCTTGCGGCTCTCTGACCGAGACTTTCTCTATCGTCACTCAATTTCCCATGTTCACTAACATTTCCGAGATCTCCTCAAAATCGGCATCTCTAATGTAAACTCGTGCAAGAAAGCCGCCGACGCGATACGCTTCGCCTTTTGAAATCCCTGGCTCTGGTAAGAATAGTGCTCTTAAGAAGCCCGTAATGGTTTGGGTTAAAGGTTTGGATTAAAGGCTTGTCTAATGTGAAGCATCAGTTGAGCCATAGTATCAAAAATACTATTGAAATCGTACAAGCTTTGAACAATTAGCCGTCTTTGGCACTTTGCCAGACTATTAGGCTGTCCAGAAAGTCTTTTTCTTCCTTTTCGTACTTCCGTTTAAAGATAACAAATTCACCAATTAACCTATAGTTTCCTCCATATAAAAAAGTGTTTATTCTTCGATTTTCCATCTTTTTAAGTCAATTTGGCTTCACTTTCAAGCAAATTCGAGAGTGAAAACACGTGTTTTTCGTAAAAATCTATCAAAACTATCTATAATCTATAAAAACCTCTACGAAGAAATTGTTTGAAGCAATTTCTCTGAAAACTTGGCTATATACCAAACTTTTTATACTCTATCTTTTACCTATTGACACCCAGAGAGGTTTTCTTAGTTAAAGTGTGTCTTTTCTAAAGCTAAAGTGTCCGCATCATCAAGCCATTGCCTTTTTGACTACCCGACTTGACGCTTCCAAAAAAAAATCCAAAAATCAGAAATTGAAAACCCGTTTCAATGTTATTCTGCAGAAAAATAATAGGCCTTTCGAATGAAACAAACCGTAGTCCAATTGGTGTATTTGTTGGTTTTAAATGGAAGTATGAAAAGGAATGAAAAGACTTTCTGGACAGCCTAATACATTCAACTAACTACAGGGTGGCAGAAAAAATTTGGCGCGAGGTTTTTGAATCGTAAATGATGCCGGGTTTATCAAAACCTATTGATCTCATATCCAAAAATGTAGCAAATTATCTGTAGTTTCTGAAACTGATAATAATTTTACAAGAGCTCTCCTAGCTTTTGAGTTATGCCCTTTTCCGCACCCACCAAAATAGGCCTCTGCGCCGAGAGTGATATAGGGGTTCACCTAAGAATATTGTGTTGCACATCAAGCTGACTGCTGAAAGGATGTTTTTAATTATTGGCTAAGGTCTTGTTTTAGTTAATTTGAACTCGAATCTAATAGAAAAATAGAAAAAAGTTTTTTTTACACACTTTTTCCACCGTTACCACCATTTTCACCAGCACTCCTTCAAAAACGGCAAAAATCGAGGTTTTGTAACATACTCAAGCTGCATTTTTAAGTCATGTGTTTGGTTTACATAATTTTGACTAACTTTAGTTCAGATTTTCTAGTCAATAATGCATTTTGCGAAAGATATTTAACCTCAAACTTTAAAAAAAACGAGCAGAAAGACGTGGTCTTTTTTCGTGGGTGCGGAAAAGGGCATAACTCAAAAACTAGAAGAGCTCTTGTAAAATGATTATAAGTTTCAGAAACTATAGAAAATTTGCTACATTTTTGGATCTGAGTTGAATAAGTTTTGAAAAACCTGGCGTCATCTACGATTCAAAAACCTCGCGCCAAACTTTTTCGCCAGCCTGTAGTTAGTTGAATGTATTAGGCTGTCCAGAAAGTCTTTTCATTCCTTTTCCTACTTCCATTTAAAACCAACAAATACACCAATTGAACTACGGTTTGTTTCATTAGAAAGGCCTATTATTTTTCTGCAAAATAACTCAAAAACTAGAAGTGCTCTTGTAAAATAATTATAATTTCCAGAAACTATAGAAAATTTGCTACACTTTTGGATATGAGATCAATAGGTTTTGATAAAGCCGGCATCAACTACGATTCAAAAACCTCGCGCCAAATTTCGCCAAATGTAGAAAGCCGAGAGGAAACTTATGACTTTGAAATCTCCAAATACCATAAAAACTCGTTTACTTGATATCGAATATTATTAGGTTGATGCATAAGTCTTTTTGTTCCTTTTCGTCTGCCGTTTCAAGCCAACAAATGCACCAATTAAACTACGGTTGATTTCATTAGAAAAACCAATTATTTTTCTGCAAAATAACATTAAAACGGGTTTAAAAATATTTTACGCCTGGATTTTCTTGAGAGTATGAAGTCGGGTAGTCAAAAAGGGCTAACTCGATGATGCGGTTTAGACACCTTAGCTAAAGAAAACCTATCTTCGTGTCAATAGATAAAAGATAGAGAAAAAAAAGTTTGATATTTCGCCAAAATTTCAGAGAAATTCATTCAGCCAATTTTTCCGTAGAGTTTTTATAGATTTTTACGAAAAAGGCGTTTTTCACTCTCGAATTTGCTTGAAAGTGAACCGAAATTGATTTAAAAAGATGGAAATTGAACAAAAAAACACTTTTTTTATAGAGCAAACTATAGATTAATTGGTGAATTTGTTACTTTTTAACAGAAGTACGAAAAAAACGAAAAGACTTATGCATCAACCTATTAAAATATCAAATAATAAAATATCGAATATCCAAATATCGAAAAGTTTCAACTCTTGCTGAAATAGACTATCATAGCAATGTCAAGATTGATGATTTTATGGAATGAATGGCCTTGAAAGCAGATCAAATGAAAAACGTTGGCACACACTTTTTTCGGCATTTTTTTTCATTTAGCATTTCAATTCATTTCGATAATCTTGCAATGCACATACATATTTTGAGCATTTGTGGCACCTTCATGGGCTCGATCGCTCTCTTGGCAAAGTTAGTGGCAACAATTATAGTTATTGTTCTTAGCAATGTTAATTTTGAAGTTGGTTACAAAATTGTAGCAGTTTTCATGCCTAGACTTGAACAAATGACACTACAGATTGATGCTTTTAGAGAATTGGGATATAAAGTAACTGGATCCGACCATGCAGCTCATCCACCTATTTCAACAATGCTCGAAAAGCACGGGATTCATATCATGAAGGTTTTTGATTTCAGAATCTTGCTCTCTATATCTTCTATATGTCGTAGCCGATTAAGGATTTCAGCCGAAGAAGTCTCAGACTTCTTCGGCTAGCCGATTAAGTCTCAAAAATGAAATCTTGAGTTATGTATTGACTCAAGTCAATACCACAAACTCAAGCTCTCTAAAAGGCGATTAAAAGCTAAAAACGCATTCTAAAGAGTGCGCATTTTATCATACTGTAACCAAAGGCTATGAAAGGGCCCTTTTCGCCATTTTCTATCTGATTCGTCATTTATTTGAAATAGAATTGTTTGTTTTTGTAAGTCAATTTGACTCGTTTGTTTTTTGTTGTTGTTTGTTTGTTGTTGTTTGTTTGTTGTTGTTGGATTTGTTTGTTTGTTGTTGTTTGTTTTTGTTTTTTTGTTTGTTTGTTGGATCATCGATAAAACTTGTTTACCACTAATCTGTTTATAATCGAACATAACCCCATATTTCAATCCTATTTTTTTTGTTACTGTGCATTTTTTGTTTAAGCTACACTAATTTTTGTTGATCGTTAACCGGCCAAAGAACTCCTCGTTCTTGACGACTTTCTTGGGTTTGTCCAAATCGCCTTTGATCCCATGATTGTAAAGCACCTCTTGATTCAATTCGAAGAGAGAATCGCACTACAAGTTTTTAGTTTTTAGCGCCTTTTAGAGAGCGTTTCTAGCTTTTAAGCGCCTTTTTGAGAGCTTGAGTTTGTGGTATTGACTTGAGTCAATACATAACTCAAGATTTCATTTTTGAGACTTAATCGGCTAGCCGAAGAAGTCTGAGACTTCTTCGGCTGAAATCCTTAATCGGCTACGACATATATCATTATTTGAATTTTTAATCATTATTGGAAGCTTTTTAGGGATATGATCTAACTCATCTAAAAGAGCGCCCAGATTTGATAATCATTGGAAACACAAAGGCTCTAGCAAGAGGCAATCCGGTCACGGAATTCGTTTTAAATGAAAAAATTCCATTCACTTCGGCACCAGAATGGATTTACTCAAACATTTTGAAAGATCGCTGGGTAATCGCTGTTTCGGGAACACATGGAAAGACGACAACCACATCGATGATTGTTTGGATAATGGAAAGAGCTGGGTTGAAGCCCGGGTATTTGATAGGTAACTGACAAGAGAGAGTCACAAGGCTGGCCAAATGAGATGAGCCATATACTATACGACGCAGAATGTTACGCTCATTCCGATGCCGTTATCCGCTATTCTTTGCATGTCAAACAATGTATAAAAGATTTCGATTTTCCATGAATCCTGTTAGAATGTTAGAATTCCATGAATGCTGTGACGGACATTTCGATTAGAAAGCTTCTTCTGATATCTTCTTCTGATTCTTCTTCTAATGCGCACTACTATTTTTTCAATCCCCTCTCTGGGCGTACTACTATTAGAGATTTTAGCATTTAACAAAAGAAATCAAAAAGATAGAGTATTTTTTCGAAAACTGCAGCCCAAATTTGTTTTGAAACTTGACGACGATCTTCAAATCAGGATGAAGACAGATTCAAATGCAAGCCATTCGTTTGAATGGCTTGCATTTTCCATCTTCTCGTACCGTCAACATGCCAGTGATTCGCATTTTGTCGTGTCCTGTTCAGAAAACCGACACTTCTTTGGATCCCTTGTCGGCGATTGTCAAACTGTTCGACTGGTCAAAAAAAATTTCGGGTTCGTCAAATCGAAAAATCGATACGTAATTGTTCTTCCTGCACATCTCCAGGTAAATGTACTCGATCAGCGCTTCCTTCGGCTCTTTTTGGGATGCAATTGTCGACGGGTCGAAAATCCGTGTCTTGGCATAAAATTATTCAGCCAATCAATCGAAGCAGTGAAATGGCCATCACTACTTTGTCACTACTATTTTTTCGGTCTACGACTACTACTCTCTACGACTCGATTAGAAAGCTTCTTGATCTTCTTCTGGTTCTTCTTCTGATTCTTCTTCTAATAGTAGCACTACTATTAGTTTTTCATTACTTGCATTACTATTTTTTTCAATCCTCTCTCGGAGTGTACTATTAGAGATTTTACCGGATACAAAAGAAACCGGATAAGCGGATAACACCATCGAAATCAGCGTAAAATTCGTCGTAACTTATGTCGTAAATTATGTGGCTCATGTCATTTGTTCACTTCAGCCTTGGGACCTTCCTTTGTGAGCTAAAGCTAGGTTTAAATTTGTAATTGAAATCTTCAGCTTTTGATTTTTCTACGCTGAACAAATCGTTTTCCAGGTGGAGTTCCAAACGGCTTGCAAAATTCGACACGTTTAAGCCCAGAATCTGAATATTTCGTGATTGAAGCTGACGAGTATGGAACAGCGTTTTTCGATCAACGGCCAAAGATGTGCCTCTATCATCCAAAGACATTGGTGATCAACAATTTGGAAATGGATCACGCTGACATTTATGCTGATTTGGCTGAAATCGAATTGCAGTTTCATCGATTGATCAAGTGATTGGGATCATCGAAGGATCAAGTGAAAAACAAAATTTTGTTCTTTAGAATGTTGCCGGGTAATGGTTTAATTGTGCATCCAACAATGACTGAATCAATTCAACGAGTAATAGCTAAAGGATGTTGGACTCCAACTGAAACAACAGGAGAAAATGGGAAGTAAGTAAAGGAAGAGCTGAGTTAAACTCGTAAATTTGTTTAGAAAACACTCGTAAGTTCGTTTAGAAAACAATTTGCTTCTAAAATTTGAATCAATGCATTTTATCAATGCATGCAAAAGCTAGAAAACATTCAAGATCAGATAATCAGTTAAAATTTGATTGATTCTGAGCTCTCTTTTCTAGCTGGACAACCAAACTCCTCTCACGTGATGGATCCTTATTTGAAGTCTTTCAAAATCGAAAACTTAAAGGAACAATTTCTTGGGAATTGCTTGGAAATCATTCTGTGGCTAATGCTCTTTCTGCCATTGCTGCTGTAAATCATATTGGTGTGAGGTAAGCCAAATTAATGGAGATGGTAAGCTTTGATGGAAGATGGAAAAACTCCTTCAAGCGTTCCTTAATTCTGTAAAACTTGTATTGTTTTCTGAAATTGAGATTGTAAAAGATAAAGCGGTACTTTTCCGTTATGAGGGCCCATTTCTCATAACGCCTGGTACTTTTCTTCAGAACTCTGCGAGCACTTCAGAGCTCTCTGGGGCTCTGCGAAGAGGAACAAAAAGAACAGAGGTACTGCCATTTCAAACTATTTGACCGAGTTTATGGTTGAAAGTTGAAGACAAGACAAGAAGTTGAAGACAACCGATTACGATTGTACGATTGGATCTTCTCGCTTATTTCAAGTGCTTGTCCGCCTCAAATTATTTAAGCCATCAGCAAAGGTTTTGTGAAAGTTAAAATACAAAAGAATGGGCCCTCAAAAAATGGGTCCTCATTTCCTCATAATGGAAATGAGGGAGCATTTATGTAAATTTGCATTTATGGTAATTTGGAACGGAAATGAGGACGGAAATGAGGACGGAAATGAGGAAGAGATGAGAAATGGACCCTTATAACGACATTAACCCTTGGTCCCTTGGAAATGGGCCCTCATAACGGAAGAGTACTCAAACAATCAAATGAACAATCAAATCAACTCTCAAATTCAGCCCTGAAATCGCCATTGAAGCACTTTGTTCGTTCAAGTACCCGAAAAGAAGGCTTGAAAAAGTTTAAAGCCACCATTTTCCCAACAAATTGAACTTTTTAGATTGGTCAAGTTGGTGAAATAGAGATCATTCTCGATTTTGGACATCATCCCACAGCAATTCAGGCCAATTTAAAAGCTCTACGAGAAAGATATGGAGAAGATGCTAAAATCTATACAGCTATCGATCTCTCAACAAGCTCGATGAAGTATATTTTTAGATTAGTAAATACTTTAATCTTTTTAGGCTTGGCCTACATAAAGAGACTTTACTACCAAGTACAAGCCATGCGAATTTTGCGTTTTTCTGGAAAACTGCTCAACTCGATTGGGATATTGAAAAGATTTGGGAGAATTATCGATCACCTTGTCAAGTAGATTAAAATGATATCTGTGGATAAAGAATTTTGTTTAAATGCTAAGGTTTGGGGTAAGTTTGAGATTGGAAATATATTCAAAGCTGAAGATTCAAGGTTCAAGATTCAAAGCTCAAGATTCAAAGCCCAAGATTCAAGACTTAATATTCAAAGCTCAAGATTCAAAGCTCAAGATTCAAGGCTCAAGATTCAAAGCTCAAGATTCAAAGCTCAATATACAAAGCTCAAGATTCAAAGCTCAATATACAAAGCTCAATATCCAAAGCTCAATATTCAAAGCTCAAGATTCAAAGCTCAATATCCAAAGCTCAAGATTCAAAGCTCAATATACAAAGTTCAATATCCAAAGCTCTATATCCAAAGCTCAAGATTCAAAGCTCAATATCCAAAGCTCCAAGTCTAACAATTTGACTTTTCAGATTTCTCAAACAGTTGATGAAATAATGGAAAGTTTCTTGAAGATGATCAACAATAATGTCACCGACAAAGTGATTTTCATTGCTTTCAGGTAATTTGGTGCACATTTTTCAATTTGGATTGGATTCAATTTCAATTGGACTTTAGTTCTTCTTCATTCGACAATTTGCCCCAAAAGTTGATGAAAAGACTTCAAAATGATTGTGCAGAAAAGTTGATTAAACGAGAAGAGCTTTAACTTGTTTGTGTTTCATAAATATCTAAAATTATGACTCTATTCAATAACAGAAGACTGTTAAAAATTGATGACTTAAATCGGATGACTTAAAAAGAAAACGACGATCTAACTTCAAATTCAAATTGATTACCGTCTTTTGTTTACGTTTGTTTTGTTTAAATTGTTTAATTGGTTACGCCAATCGATTCGCTGATCCCGAAAATCTCCGGTTAACAAATTTTTCTTTCAAAATCTCATTTGAGAACGGCTTGCAAGACAAAAAAAATCCTTTTAGAAAACTTTTAGTTTTTTTGAAAAACTGAAGCTTTTTCAAGTCTTTCAAAGTTTTCAAACTTTCCAAAAGTTCTTTCCCTTTTTCGCCCAGCTCTTCGCCACTTCCTATTTCCAGGAAGTGCCCAGAGTGCACCACGAGGTGCTGGCTGAACTTCGCACTCCACCACCCTATAGTCCGAAGACTTGGGCTCCGAGGTCCACGTCTGGCCCTTGGCGATGGCACCGAGGCAGAAAGAATGCTTACCGTAAATACTGTAATAGTACCCCACCGCCCTCGTACAGTCGCGTAGTCGCAAAAGTTTTTTAGTATTTCATTTTTTTCAAAGCGCCCGTACTTTCAAGAAATACGTCTTTGGTATCAAAAAATAGCCCTGAATTTCAGCTATTTTTTGATACCTAAGCGCGCATTGTAGCATAAGCCAGTGTCGAGAAAAACTCGTTCAAAGCTAGACTACGCAACGCTCCGCACCGTCATTATGGGGGTGGGGTACTATTAGGTTGTCCGGAAATAAATGAGCGTTTTTAAGTTGAATATTTAAAGTACCATAACTTGATCCAAACAAAACTTTATTAATCGAAATAAGAACCATTACAATTAACACATTCTTGCCAACGAGAAACAAGTTTATTTATGCCGGTAGCATAGATGTTCGGGCTTCTGGTGGCGATAAAGTCGGCGAAGGCGTTTTTGGCCTCGTCTTGAGTTTTGAAGCATTTCTCCCGGAGGAAGTTGTCGAGGTGCTTGAAAAAGTGGTAGTCGATAGACGAAAGGTCAGGCGAATATGGCGGGTGAGGCAAAGTTTCGTAGCTCAGTTCATTCAGCGTTTGCAGGGTCGGTAGTGCGACGTGCGGGCGAGCGTTGTCGTGGAGAAGAATTGGACCTTTTCTGTTGACCAATGCGGGCACATTCGCAGCAATTTCTGGTGCATTTCGTCGATTTGTTGGCAGTACTTCTTCGCCGTAATCGTTTCGCCCGGATTCAGAAAGCTGTGATGGATGAGACCGACTGCGGACCACCAAACAGTCACCATAACCTTCTTTTGATGCAAATTTGGCTTTGGAAAGTGTTGTGGAGCCTCTCCGACGTCCAAACCACTGAGCGGAACGTCACCGGTTGTCGTAGAGGATCCACTTTGATCGCACGTTACGATCCGGTCGAGCAATGAGTCGTTTTTGTTGCGCTGAAGAAGAGCAGACGGCACCTAAAAACGACGATTTTTTTGATTTTCGTTCAATTCGTGCGGCACCCATTTATCGAGCTTTTTTGACTTTCCAATCCGTTACAAGTGGTCAGAAATGGTCGTCTTGCCCACGCCAAGCTCCTCCGCAAACTTTCGAATAGTCGTACGTGGATTTGCTTCCACCAGGGTCTTCATTTCGTCGTCATCGAGTTCAACAGGACGGCCAAGGCCTTCCTTATCCTCGAGATCCAAATCATCACCTCGGAATTTTCGGAACCAAGTTCGCACTGTTGACTCGCCGACACTGCCTTGGCCCCAAACTTCGTTCATGTTACGAGCCGCTTCAGCTGCATTGCGACCGAGTTTGAACTCATAAAAGAAAATCTGGCGAAAGTTAGTTTCGGACATCTAAAACGGCGAAGCTTAAAATTCGCAAAAAATTTTATTTTCAACAAAATTTAAAAGCATGGTTGAAGAGAGTGCGAAATCAGCTTTCTAATGGTATATATTGTAACATCACAAGGTACAGAGCATACTTTATTGAGAAAAATGTATCCAAATAATAAACAATACAAAACGCTCATTTATTTCCGGACAACCTAATATTACAGTATTTACGGTAGCTTTCTAAGGTGCGCGTAGCGTAAGTAGGAGAATGCTCTGAAGTTACACTTTGTTGATGCTAAAAGGGATTGATCTCCAGTCGGTTTAAGAACCTCACGATTCCTCCAATGGGGTGTCCAAACTTTCTGGGTCCAAACGACTTTCTGGCAGAGGGTCGGCGAATCGATTGGTGGGGTTCATTTTGTTCCATTTGACAGGCACTTTTTTGTATTAAGCGTTAGAAGATGAACGCAAATGGTGTGCCAAAAATTCGAAGAACCTTTCAAAAATCCACAACTTTGAGGCCATTTTTCTCAAAAATTTTGTATACCTATTACACCAGAGACCTACGTTTTCGGATTCAGGAAATTTTTGCCAATAAAACGAGTGTTGCCGTTTGACTGGAGGCGGCAAGCAATCTGTGGGCATCTCTAGTAAATTTGGCTGTTTTTTCTACAAATTCCAGTCAATTTTAGTCAAAAATTTGTCGAAACGCTCTTTTTGACAGCCATTTGTTTTTCAGTGACAGCCATTTCAGTTTTTTTCAGTTTGACAGCCTTTTTAAGTGATTCGATAATTTTTCAGTCTTCTGTAATTGAACAGAGGCAAAATTCTAGCCAAAATTCTAGCCATTGATAAAACAGAAACTTGCAAAAGATTGAGCAAAAAGTTCCTTTGTCTAAATTCAACGTCAAAGGTCAAGTTCATTTAAACTCAGAATTCACAACTTTCGAGACTCAATTCGAGTTCGCATTTGAAAAGAAAAGGCATAAACCAGAGCCAAGGAAGTGCGTTGCAATGGGGAAATGTAAAGAAAACGGGGAAAAGGGACACAAACCACAAAGGAGACCCGGCAATTTCCCCCTGAGATAACCATTAGAGAAAGAAAAATAAAACATTGGCTCGAAACCACAAAACTAAAAGCCACAAAATCAATTGTATCCAGGTGATATTTTGCTCTTCGTTTCTAAAAACATTTTGCTGAACTTTGTTGTCTCCACGCCCCGCTCGACCAATAAATCTTATTACCAGATCACTAAAACTGTTCATCTCTGAGAAATTTGATTCTTTATTCTCTATTATACTCCTCACCTACCTCATCCAAATGGATTTTGAACAATTCACTAAAGAATGCGTTGTGCCAGATGTTATTCCAACAGTTCCGCGACAAATCTTGCAAATCAAATATGACAGTGGAGTAGAGGTGAGTGTTTAGCTAGGCTTTTGAATGTTCAGACATCTTGCATGTACAATTGTGCATCCAAAAACATCCAAAAACATCCAAAAACCTCCAAAAACCTCCAAAAACCTCCAAAAACATCCAAAACATGATTCAAAAACAACATGTTTGCCAAGGGAAATGTTGACATTGAACTCGGAACCATTTAGGTTGAAATGGGAAATGAATTAACACCGACACAAGTCAAAGATGTCCCCACTGTGACATGGGAAGCTGAACCAAATGCTCTATACTCTTTGATATTCATAGGTTTGTCTGAATTATTATTTTGTCTAATTTCTTAATATACTTGATTGCTCAAAACAAGGTGCTGACTCGTTTATTTATTGTAAGGAAACAGTTTTCTAAAAAGCAAAACAGTTTGACGAGCGTAGAACTCGAACTAGAGAGCAAGAAAGTTATAGATTTGGCAGTCTAGCAGACCATCCACTAGACCAGTGAAGGAGTTGTTAGGGAAGCGCGTGGCGGCCTCAGAAAAAGCTCCAAATTCATGCTGATTTTCTATGCTAAATATCTCGCGTTTGCGAAGCGTTCTGCAAAAACTAAAAACGAATTCAAAATCTCCATTAAAGTGATAGATTTGGCAGTCTAGCAGACTATCCACTAGACCACCGAAGATGACTCAGATCCTCTAAGATAGACTTGATCTCGAGTCAAAAGTCCAGCTTGACTAGCCTTTCCATTTTGAGAATGAATATGTACAGAATTTCCTCTCTCTTCAGACCCCGATGCCCCATCTCGACAAAAACCGAGACCCGGCGAGTTCAAGCATTGGCTAGTGATCAATATCCCTGGAAATCAAGTTGACAAGGGTGACGTAGCCGCCGATTATATTGGATCCGGTCCACCTGAAGGATCTGGTAAGCGCAAAGGTAGATAAAACTTTAAAAAGAACATTTAGGTCTTCACCGATATTGCTTTCTCTTGTACAAACAGAATGGGCGGCTGAATGCTGAACCAACAGTGGGTTATATAGATACTTTATTCAAGACATGAAGTAAAGTGAAAAAGAAAAAATTTCAATACACAGAGGTAACACCTAAAGAAACAGAACAAAGATTGAAAGATTTTAGAATAAATTAAATCCAATCAATTACTCATAAGAGAAGATCTAGGTTAGCTACTGATTTTTCTTAAAGGATCTAAGGCTTTTGCATTCTCTTAAATTGTTTGGTATTCGGTAAATAGTATCCGGTAAATAACATTCGGTAAATAGTATCCGGTAAATAGTATTCGGTAAATTTCGAAACCTGGCAACTCTGATTGGGAAAGACACAAAGTATAGAAACAAAGCTATACACGAAGCTATACACAAAGCTATACACAAAGCTATGCACAAAGCTATGCACAAAGCTATGCACAAAGCTATTTGAGGTAATAGAAATTCTCAAGAGAAATCAACTTCTCCTTGAATCGATCACTAGATTGAGTTTTAAAAAAATGACAAAAAAGAGAACTAGAAAGTTTACATTTAACAATTTAGAAGTATTCAACCAAGCGGTGATGCTTAAAAGTTTTAAGCTCAAAAACATTGAGTCTATCAAGTCTATAACTCATATTAGGAATTTAGGAAAGTCAATTTTCTAAGGACTCTAGTGACTTTAGGACTTTAGTCAATTTTCCAAGGACTTTAGTGAATCTTTGTTGGATTTTTTCCGCAAAATCTTCACCTGATTTTCTGGAGATCAGACTATAGATGC